ATTTATATTTGATATTTTCTTGTGTTTCTGGCACTTACATAACCATCAGTTTTATTCTGAAATGTTGTCTCTCATGACTTAGGCTGTGTCTATAGCAGATGAGGAAGTGTTTGCCTTCCGCATGGTGAACTACACAGATGCGACAGAAGGTGATGCATATCTAGACATGTCTAAGGTTGACACCTCTGTCACACTGACTGTTGGATGCATCCAGGTCATCTTCCTCAACAAGTTTGTCTCTTCCATATTGGTAAGAATGACGTGTACATGTTGATTTTTTTCTTTTTCTTTTCCCAAATCTCTATTGTTGGATCATTTTCACACTGATGTTTTCTATTCTTCTATTCCTCTAATCTTTCATTGTCCCAGGCATTCATCAATAACTTCCAGGAGGCCAAAGAGGCCCTGGCTGAGGTGACGGTCCAGGCTGCAGAAAAGGCAGCATCAGGTGTGAAGGAGCTGGCAGAGCGAAGCACTCGAATCGCTTTGAACGTCCACTTCAATGCACCTGTCATCTTCCTCCCCCAGTCCTCCTCTTCCACCAATGTCATTGTAGCTGATCTTGGTCTGCTGTCTGTCAAGAACCATTTTTCCAAGCAGCCATTTAAAAGTGATGCTAATATCCCTCCTGTCGTGGATATAATGACTGTGAGGCTGACTGACCTCAAGATGTACAGGTCAGAGTGCAGTTATTTTTAGGACTTGATTTGGATTTACAGTAATTTGATTTTCTCTTGATAACGTCTGTAACGACTATGCTATGTTACTGTTGTTTTTTCTCCAGGACCACATACGTAAATGAAGGGTTTCAGGGAGAGACTCAACTGCTGAAACCGGTCAGCTTGGACTTGGAAGTCCAGAGAAATCTTTCATCCAACTGGTATCACAGCATACCTGACATAGGGATCACTGCTCATCTAAAGCCCATGAGTGTAGGTAGTTCTATATGGAGAAAGAATGAGGGGTTTATCACATCTGTGCTGGTCTAAGTTATTTCATTGAATCTCTTTTTTGTTTGGTTGGAAGTTTAATAGATGACTCTGATTTGATTAATACCAAAAATAGTGCATATACTCAGGTTTTCAAACAGGCAAACCTGCTGAAAAGGTGAATGTCACAAAAAAAAGTAATGTTAAAGAAATTAGAAAAGAAACCTGGATCCATGCCAAAATGTAATGGGTTATTTCTCAGTTCATACCCCATCCTTCCACTAAGTTTTCTTGTAACCTGTTCAGTAGTTTTTATGAAATCATGCTGATAAACAAACAAACCAACAGACTGTGCCGAAAACAAAACCCTTCATGGCAAAGGGAATTTACAGACAGGCTTTATTATGATTTTATCACAAATAGATTATTTGTGGTCTGAAAGTTGGCCACAAGAGTAGGGAGAGGCTTTCAGTGAGAATCTAAATCAAGTGTATTATTATCATATTTTGTGTCTGCTCCCAACAGCTGATCCTCAGCCAGGACGATATGACCGTGGTCCTCAGGACTCTGAGTGAGAACCTGTCAGAGAAGTCCGATGCTGTTCCACCTCCAACCTCTCCACCCACCGCTGACCCCTCCTCCGATTCTATATCCAACAAAGAGTCCCAGGGCTCTGGCACCACTGGACCAGCCAGCAGTAAGGAGTTTAGATGTGCAGGATTGTGAATCCGGTCTGGAAATATTTTTGAAACTATTATAACTTCCTTGCAGGTAACACGGTGGTGACAGCCGCTGTTGTGGAGACCCAGAAAAACCGCAAGCTGAAGAGCACACTCAAATTAGACTTCAAGTTTGACTCCATGACGCTGGTGGTGTTCAGCCCTAATGGGAATGAGGTAATGCAAACACACACACACACACCAAGTCACACAGAAATGCAAAAACAACTGAAGGCAGTCGTATGATATTAGGCTTTACCACCTTAATTTTACAAGAGTGTGGTTCTGTAGTTGCAGGTGTTGGACTCGCATGATGAGGAGCTGAAGCTGGCAGAATTTACTCTTGGCACCATCTCTACCTCCCTTCACATGTTCTCCGACAGCTCCATGAAAGCCTCGGTCCGTCTCGCTGCCTGCCTTCTTGATGACAAGAGACCCAAAATCAAGATGGTTACTCCAAGGTACGAAATACACACCTTACTTTACTTGCATGTAATTTCTCTGAATTGTAATAATTAGAAGATTGATGTTTTTAGCAGAGGGTTCTGTTGTTTCTCTGTTGCTCCACTGATCTGCACTATGTAAGAGGAGCTGATTACACTGGGTTTACCACTTTTTCTTCACTAACAGCACTTCTCTGTTATCTCCCAGAATGATGGCGATGCGTCCTGGTGCAGAACAGAACATGATGGTGGAGGTGAACTATCGGCAAGGCCGTGAAGGCACCTTGTTGGACATGTTGGTGCAGGACGTGTACTTGTGTGCCAGCATGGAGTTCCTGCTCACTGTGGCAGATATCTTTCTTAAGGCCACCCAGCAGGGTTTTGCTCAAGTGCCCCAACACAAGAGCAGCTCTGGAGCAGGGGAGAAAAAGAATATGAACTCCTCTGTCACATCTAAAGAGTCCAGTGAGTTACAGTAACAGTAAACATTTTGTGTGATGATAATATCACCCAAAAGGATTTATTTGATTTGGCAAAATGAAAGTATCTGCTAGTTTTTCTGATTCAGACACAGCAAAGAAAGGATGTCTTTGCTTTTCTTTCTTTGGTATCGATGGTGGCGTAATTGGGTTTATACTGTGAATTACAACAATTATACAAGTTATAAATGTGAGCAAACAAAGAATTAAATAAAATTACAAGTTGCACTCTGATGTAATTAAACCTGAACTGACATTCTCCTCTGATACTCTGCTGCTGTCAGCTGCACCTCCAGCCGTGGTGTCAAAGACGGAGATGAACATTCTGGTGCGAAACCCGGAGATTGTGTTTGTAGCTGACCTGACGCGTGCTGATGCCCCCGCCCTGGTGATGACCACGGAGTGCGAACTAGTAATGAAAAGTGGAGCAGAGGGATCAAATATGACTGCTATCATCAAGGACCTCAAGGTTTGTATGGTCCTTTGAATGCAACCAAGAAAAAACAAAAGATTCAGTATTTTATGTATGTATGCACTTGAAATTGACTATTGAAAGAGTTAAAAAATGATCTTGCATGCAACAATATTTCAGTATATAAGCTTTGTTTGGTTTCTGGTTGTTATTGTAGGTGGTGGCGTGTCCCTTCTTGACTGAGAAGAGGATGAACAATGTGACCACAGTGCTGCATCCGTGTAAAGTTTTCTTTCATAGTTCTCAGTCTCCCACCACCCCTCAGGCGATGGAGGTCTCTATCAATGCTCTCACACTGAAGGTAGGTGTTGTATTAAATTTACATCAATGAAATGATAGACTATGTTGTTCCATTTATATGTCGAGTGCTTCATCAGCAAATTTAAAGCTTTTTCCAAACATTTTAACTTTTGATCCTGTTCTTAATAGGATCAACTTTTTTAGCCATGTGCCCTGTATTCATCCTTTCAGCTAAAAGACAGAAGGACAGTCAGTATGTCTGATTACTCAATGATCCTTATTTTATGAGAAGTATGGAGCTTGTTCTAAATAGGCAACACACATACATGGGTTTGTATCGGGTACAGGATTATTGGTAAATGTAGCATCGAATGTTAAAGCAAAGAAAATGTTTTATCTGCACAGGTCTCTCCAATCATCATCAACACAGTAATCACCATCCAGTCAGCACTTACTCCCACAGTGGAAGCCCCTGAGGAGCTGGATAGTCCTGTTCCTGTTGACCTGTGGGAGAAACGAGGCTGGAAGGAGCTCAAGCTCTGGTTCTTAGAAGAGGAGGGGGACGAAGACACAAGGTCACTGGTCCCACTGATACCACAGGGAGAGTCTTTACAGGTATTTAGCTGCATTGTGACGTAACTGATGACACCGCGTGTCATGAGTGATTGTATGCTATAATATAGTCAGATTATTTTTATAGTTTTTATTAATGTTGGTCCCTTTTATATCACAAACAGGGTGTGACATATCATTGGTTATCTATCCCTGTAGGTGTCCATCAAATCAATCTGTCTCACTCTGGAAGCTGGCGTGGGACATCGCACCATCCCCATGCTCCTGGCCAAGTCGTCTTTCCATGGAGACGTTACCAACTGGTCCACTCTCATTAACCTACACAGCGAGCTCAACCTGGAGGTAATACACACAAGTAAAGGCCTGTTTACAGTAGATTTACTCCCTAACCATGATCCTACACTCTGAAATATAAACCTGTACCACTGTTATTGTTTATATACATTTTTTATACATTCTTATGTTGTTTTTTGCTTCAGGTTCACTATTTCAATGAGGTGATGGGAGTGTGGGAACCGCTACTGGAGCCTTTAGAAGATGAGACAAGAGATGGATTCAGATCATGGAGACTTGATTTGAAGGTACTGAGATATGTGCACGCATGCATGCGCGCGCACACACACACACACACACACACACACACACACACACACACACACACACACACACTTAGTGTTACTAAGTGTTTCTATCTTATCCTTCAACCAGATGAAGAAGAAGCCAGTGAAGTACACACTCTCAGATGAAGTGGACTACAATGTTCCAGACTATAAGACAGTCATCACCATTAGAAGTGAAGACCAGCTCAACATCACGCTCTCTAAGTGTGGCCTAGCAATGCTGAGTAACCTGGGGATGGTAAGAACAGGGCTCATTTAGACAGAACATCTTAAGGATGAGCGTGGCCATCCATAATTTTCCCATTCTTGTCTTCAGGCATTTGCAGAAGCTGCCAAACAGACAGCTGAGTGCTTCCAGAAGGATGAAGCCCCGTTTGTGGTGAAAAACCGCCTGGGCCTGCCGGTGTCAGTCCGCTACAGTGAGATGTTTCGCCCCATCGGAGAGCAGGGCACTGACTGCACTGTGGAGCTGCCAGATGGGCAAACACTTGGGATGGACTATTCAACCACAACAGACTCTGACCAGTTCTCAGCCATGATCTCCCTGAGTGAAAAGGACTACTTCATACTACCTAGTAAGTGAAATTTAGTACGCAGTTATACTGAATTAGAAAAGTCAGTTGTAAATTGTTACAGTATCTAATCTTCCCCATAATCCTCGTCATTTAATGAAACTTGTAGCTCACTGGCTAATGTCTGATGATAAATTAGCAGTAGAATCTGTTCATGGAGATTATACTCTCTTAAACCAATATACCTCTTAACTTAACTTAACCCTGTCCTCTCTTTTTCTTCTTGATGTTCATCTAATGTAAGAAAAATGTCAAAATAACATGTATGTACTCAGTGCTCTTATTTTCGCTCTTTCTCCAGCTCCGGTGGGCCACACCTCAGCCAGTGTGATCCCCCTGATCAAAGTGGGCAGAGGAATGTACAGTGTAATGCACAAGGATTCTGGAGTCACTCGTTTCCTGGTCTGTCAAATTTACTCCGTGGAGGGAAGCAAGTACATAAAGATCCGTTCTCCTTTCCAGGTACGTTACCCATTATCTTATGCTCATTTCAATAATTATTTTTTATCCAATTTTAAATATGTAGTGGTTTGAAATAGTTATAGAACAGCCACTTTGTTCAAGACCCTGACTGGATCTCTAATTGACTTCATCTTTATTGCTAATTGACTATTTACCAGTGTCAATTAATCAGGCGGTTCCTATAAGAGGCTGCAATCACTGTTTATCAAGAAATACTCTTACTTCCTTCCAGATTCAATTGAAAATAAATAGAAATTAGCAGCAACCCCAAGATGTTTTAAAATATAAGAATAACAGATGAGGTCTTTATTGTTGTCTTTCCTGTCCTGCAGATTATCAATCATTTCACGATACCATTCAAAGTGTTTGAAGGATCAACGTGTCTGGGTACTGCTCTGCCTACTGAAGAGTTCTGTGTGCCTCTGGACTCATATAGGTGAGAGCAAATGTAACAGTTTATTTATTTGGTATATATATATATATATATATGTATATATATGTGTACACCGGGGTGCCTGCACTGGGTGGCTCTGTAGTGATGTTCGGGGTGTTGTTTTGTACATCTGTGGTTTTGTGTGTGGGAGACTTCCGGTAATGGAGGTGTGATGGTGTGGTTCCAGACAGGTAACCAGGCTGGCTCCAAACACACCCCCCTTATTACAATCCCTTTTTCTTCCTCTCTTTCTCTAGCTGTTCTTTTTTTCTACTATACACTCCTCCACCCATATTAAGTCTTTGCTGCCCCCCTCAGGTCTGAGCTGAGCCTTCAGCCGGTAACGGAGGACGACACTGAAGATCAGGTTGCACAGTTTGAGTGCTCAGAGGGCTTTAGTTATGAGGATGTCAGGAACCAGCAGCCTGAGACACGCCTCCAACAGACCTGCCATCGGTGCGGAAACCAGGATGGTGTGATGAAGGTCAACATTGTGCCAGTAAAGGATACTGTGACATTCAAAAACACAGGTAGTATCGGGGAGAACTTTGACGTGCCCTTTGTGCTCCACCTGTGGCCTTCCATCCTCCTGCACAACCTGCTGCCGTATCCCATCACCTACGACCTGCAGGTAGGAACTGACTGGTTGTTGCGATCATTTTTACCTTCACATTTTGTACAATGACCTATTTATCAGGCAGTGGTTTATTATACTGTAATTAATAGTATACCAATCTAATGGCAGAGACTGGTCAATCTGCTATATTCAAGTTGTTTAAGAGTTAGCATTCCATCACAGTGGAATTAATGAATTTGAAATTGGGATCCTTTTAACTTACAAGCTTGTTGATACTTATATTGGCTGACCAACAGCAACATATTCATATTTTTTGGACACAGCTAAATTTTCTTTCACAGCATCCATGTTTGCTTAGTGTTGATCTTCAAACTTATATTTTCAACAACACAGCTGGTGAAAGCAGAGCTGTTCTAAAGATCTCTGTCAGATAATGGGTGTTTCGACATCAGTAACTGCTGTCGTATCTTCAAAATGATCAACAGTAATCTTTATGCAACAGGTAGTCAGAAGAGTCTACATCATAAATATTATTACAGTAGTTCTGACTCTGTCACCATATGTTGTGACATATATATTAAATATATATATATTAACATATATATGAAAATGAAATAGCACAGATTCACTGTTGTACTCAGTGCTGCTCTATGGCTGCTGCTCAACAGGACAGTGGAGTTTCTGCTCCTGAAGCCACTCTGGACCCAGGCTACTCTGCACAGCTTCACACCGCCGTCATCGACCGCTCTAAACTCAGTCTCCGCCTGCTGAACTACTTAGCTCAGGATTGGTCTTCTGAATACAGGTCTGTCTTCAGTCTCATCATGATGACTGTTTATCTTTCTGATCATTAATTGAGCAAAGCGTTCACTATCAGTTTGACCTATTGCATGTCCTCTTGAGCCACCAATGTTAAGTTGTTCTGCTACGAATGCCATCACGAGCAGACAATCATGACACTAAAGCGTCTGAGAGGCAGCTTGTGTAAATGTTTGGGTTTTACACTGTCAACAGCAGAGGGACAAACATAAGCAAGGCTGTTTGTCAACTTTGCACCATGCAACCTATGGGCGCACCTGCTAGCGAAGGAGGAACCACAGACAAGCAGAGCAACGTCAAGTGTTCATCCTAATCTGACTTGTGCGGGCCAGGGGTATTTCAATATATTTTAACAAATTGCGTGTCATGTCAAAATAGTTCGAGCTTAATTTTTAGAAAAAGTGACAGCCGTAGGGTCTTGCTGCTCTCCTTGCCTCACGCTGGGCTCATAGAAGGATAGGGAGGTTCAGGAACAGAGCCATAGAGCAGTTACTATTACTGCAATTATTGTAATCAAATACATTTTGCAGAAAGTGGTCCTGACTGAACTGTAACTCCTGGTCATAAGTAACATAAGTTATTGGAGAGGGTCATAGTTCCCAGATATTGTTTTTATTTCCTCTTAATACAGAGAGATATGAAATTACCTCTCTTTGTTTACCATCTTCAACACGTTTCCTGATTAAACAAATGTCTCTCTTATACAGTCTCCAGAGTAACCAGGAGGAGATCACCTTCATCGTGTTCCAGTCTCTGCGAGAGGATGATGACGAGGATTATGGTGAAGGGACAGAGAGAAAGAGGGCTGGGCTAGACATAGCAGTGCATGTTAAATATGACCTCGGCCAGACAGTGATTGCCATCCACTCACCATATTGGATGGTGAACAAGACGGGAAGGTTACTGCAGTACAAGGCTGATGACATCCACCGTAAACACCCTCTGGACTACGACATGCCCCTGCTCTTCTCATTCAAGCCTCGGTACTTCCTGAAAAACAATAAGGTAAAGAGAAATTATGTTTTACCTCAAGTGTAAGTTATTAAAAATATATTTTATGTATAACTGGTCTCATCTTCAATACACTTTCTAGCTGCCTGTTTATATGTTATTTTCTTAAACAAATTGCCCTTAAGGTGTAAAACTGGCTCTAGATTTCTTAATATTTAACTTTTTATTTCTTTTATATTTCTTCAAGACCCACATAAACACTTGATAATTTAAAATTGCTGCTGTTGTGCATAGAGTTGCACTTTTTTTGATTAATCGCCTACCAAAAACACTCTACTGGAATACTGAGATTTGTATACAGTACAAAATGAATAACTTCTGTAATTTCTGACCGTACATTACTGTGATTCTTTTCATTCCTCAGGTCCGCCTTATGATCTCAGACAGCGAAGCCTCTGATGAATTCTCCCTGGATACAGTTGGTAGCCATGGAGATGTGAAATGTAAAGGCAGATTCAAAGATTACCTGGTGAGGATTTGCCATACACGTCAACATTCAGAGATAAATTACTGTTCTTTTACTTAAAGAGCCATTGGACAGACTTTAGTGTGTGTCTACGACATGATGTGTTGTGTAAGAAGTTCACGATTGTCCTGTGGACACACCAAACATTGGTGTGATGTTTGTCTGTCCTCAGGTTGGTGTGAAGATTGACGCGAGCAGTTTCAGTCTCACACGCATTGTGAGCTTTGTGCCCTTTTACATGCTGGTCAACAGGACCAAGCACAGTGTCTTCATATGTGAGGACGGGCAGGACAACTGGACTGAGGCTCACCCAGAGCAGGTCAGAACCAAACCAAATATTTATATATTTTTACTTGCACATTTATTTTTTTTAATACCAGAGGTTTTACAGAATTATAAAGGGGTCCTCTCTATGGAGGCCACCATGTTTTTTACAGTAGTTCAAACTGGACAAACTGAAGACCTTTTGAGTTTTCATGAAAATTGAAGGCTACCATGGGTATTTTTTATGTTTTTAAGGGGAAGTGAGGGGTATTCAGCTGCAACATGAAAATTCACCACTAAATTCTACACACTGAACCTTTAACTTGACTGAAATAATATTCTGCACATAAAATATCATCTCAAGTCAAAATCAGTAAAACAAATGTATCCATTATCAATAGTCTACTTTTAGGTTTGTAATATCTACAATGTATAACTCAAAATATACATCTGAGAAAAATATGTGAAATGTAAAAAGCATTGTTTTATTCCACATCTTAGTCAGCAATTCCTTTCTGGCCGGAGAACGACACCAAGCGGGTGAAGATCAAAGTAGAAGGATGTTTATTGCCTCCTCGGAGGATTGACTTCACACGACCAGAGAACTGTCTACTGCTGCACCTGGACAACTCTGTACGTAGACATGCACACACAAAGGGATAATGTTTGTGTGTGCATCATCATTTTTTACAGGATGTGCTATTTATATGAAAAATAGTTAATGTATGACATTGCTTCCTGTTCTGTAGCTGGGTGGGATCATTGTTGATGTGAACCTATCAGACCACGCTGCCATAATCCGATTCTCAGAGTACCACGATGGCGCGGCCCCCTTCCTCATCATCAACCACACCACAGACCAGACTCTTCTTTTCCAGCAGAGGTGAGAGAACAGCAAGGGGGACTGTCACAAGGACATCAACAGACAATGTCCAATGGTGTCTCTTTGTGTCAGTACTAAATACTTAAAGTGATGGATGTAGTTTGTAAATAGGCTCAGACTGAGAGCAGTAGGGATATAAATGGTTCACACATCACATTATTTGGACTCCCTGCAGGCCTGATATCACCTTTGGATGAAGCTAGTCTAATACATTCTTTGCATAACATTTCCTATGGCTTTATATCATCATATTACCAGGGCTCTGTGGTAGTAAACCTGAGTGGTCCAGGTTTCATTTGAACTGTGTTGTGAAAGAAAATCTTGAAAAATCAAAGTCGATGTTTTGCTCACTGTGCTGCGCCCGTTCATTCAGTTTCTGTCCATTATTTTTTAATTGTTTTCTGCTAATTTTACATTTCTTTGCAGTTTATGTTTCTCAATTAAGTTTTCTTGTCATATTATTCATTTTATTAACAGCATTTTAAAATTTTATCAAGAGAGATGTTTTGCATGTTTGTAAATGACTCTTCTCTGTTGTTGCAGCAGCCGTTAACTTTTTAGTTAAGAGCCAGCAGTGTTAGTTCTTGCTGATAGAGATTTATGTTTTTGTGTTGTTGGTCATGCAGCAACTGGACAGAAAACAAGTGGGTGCCTGACGAGCTGCTAGATCTCTCCTTTTCAATGGAGGAGGAGGACAGGTAGAAAAAGTGAAAGGGGAAAAACTCTTCTGACGCACTCTGAACTCAAGAGATAGAAGATAGGAAGTAGGAATGCGAGGGGATAACAAAACAGACTAGAAGTGTTGCACTACATTTTTTTATTGCTGTTGCACCTTCTGAAGATAAGGAAGAAAATCAAGCCTGTAATTGGAAGAATTTGGACATATAATTATAAGTTAAATATAGCAGCAGGTTTTTACCGGAAGCAAAAGTGAAACTGAAAATGATGGTAATTACATATCAGAAAAAGAGGATAAGCCATAAAAGTCACCAAAGAAATTAATCTATCAAACATAAAGTAAAAGTAAACAGATACACAACAGTAAATTTAGAACAATACATAAATTTAAAAGAAATGAATGATGAAGCCGAGGATGACACCAGGTGGAAGAAGGAAGCGTAGCATGAAAACGCTGCTCAAGAGCACAGAGACCCACTCAGTGTAGATTTATTATTATTAAAAGACTAATGTCACAGTCCCTTGAGTGCAGAATGTGGTCAGTAGAGTGCAGGTAAAGATAAGTAGAAGAAGACTGCTTCTGTTCTGGTTGTGTTTTGTGTAATCTGCTCCTCGCCTTGCCAATGAGAAATAAACAGTGTGTCGGCCTAATCATAAATTATATAACATTACATTGTGAAGTCACTCTTGGATTTTGATATGTTTGCACATTTGTGTTATTGTTTATATGGTTTTATTCTGATCTAAAATGTTTATGGATCATTGGAGTAGAAAAAAGGAGCAGGTTAGACATTTACTCATTTATTATTCTGTTCCTTCAGTCTCTTATCAGGTGTTCTTGCCTGGATGGGATTCTGCCAAAGGAATCACAACTCCTGCTTCTTCCAGTAGTTCTGTTGTGTCGACTTTTATTTTCAGATTTTCCATCTCTATCCGCAGGTTACGGCTTCCTACTCGCTTTATTTATTCCATTCTCTCATGTCTGCTCTGTCTCAGCCGAAAAGTTCAGAAACTTGTGAATGTATATTATGTAGGTATTGTGGACTTCTGGGTATTTGGCCGTTGTGCTGTCGTTCTCTCTCATGTTTCTGTCTATTCATGGGACTTGTTTGTGCGCTCTGTCAGACAGGTACTTTGGATTGGTTGGTTGTTGTGGTGGTAGATTCTTGGTGGCTAGGCTCTGTTCTATCTTCCTCTGTTCCTTTACCATTGTCAGTTTCTCATTATTTGCTCTCTGCTATTTCAAATCTGTGGAATATTGTTATAGTACTTTTTTGCAACACATGCTGCTTGTATTTACTGTGCATATGTCTGGGTGGGTTTCATGTGCATGCAGCTCTCAGAAAATAACAGAACAGTACGAGCTGGAGCCTGGGAGAGCTGTGCATTACACCTGGGCCGAACCCACAGGGTCCAGAGAGCTTTGCTGGAAGTGTGGCACCTACACTGGGAAGCTGAAGAGTGAGGAGGTACCTGAGCCAGAATAATGTTTGTGCCGGAGTTATAATATTTATTCATTCTAAATAGTCTTTAGACATCTTTAGATGTATAAACATCTTACCATGTCAAACTAAAGCTGCTTTTGTCTTTGTCTGCACGAATCACTCAGCTTTTACATTAAAACATTACACTGAAATAAATGTATAATTCAGATCATATAAGTTAACTGAACTATTATCAGTGAAGTATTTTTACTTTCTATACTAAGTTTGTAATAGTATTTTGAAAACCAGATATCGCTAACCCTGCATGTCAGCTGGCCCTGGGTTGTTTCAATGCATCTACCATAAAGGCTGAAATACAGGGGCACTCCTTATTTAGCTTTGGCTGGTTTGACCATCGAGAAACCAATGAGGAATGGCTCGACCACAGTTCAAACTTGTTTTGGAAATGCAATCCTCAGTTGTCCAATTTGGTAACAATAGGTATAGCAAAAATGTAGGCTCCTAAAAATGCTGTCCTCAAATTACTTTCCTGTAATTGCAGCCTCTGATCGTTTTTGTGGTGATGTGATTGTGTACTCAAATGAAGTATTTATGTGAATAACTGTTTGTTTAAACAGTGTGTTTTCTGGCGTCTGTAGGATCTGCGTGAGGACATGAACAACGAGGGAAAACTGTTTGTGATCTCCTTCTATGAAGGTAAAGTACAACAAGCTTGAAATTAAATTCCCAGGCTTCTCACATGCATTCTGTAAATGTGCTTTACACAATCGTATAATCACTTAAAATGATGTCAAAGATACAGTTTATGACAGCAAGGGTTTTCCTTTGAGAGAAATGAAGTGTTTAATCAGTATGGTTTGTGATTGTTGTTGATCCAAAGGTCTCCAGCGTGTTGTGCTGTTCACTGAGGAACAACGCATCTACAAGCTGCTCTGTGAGAGTGAGAAGGCGCAGCTGGCCGAACAGGAGATCATCCTGTCGCTAAAGAACATGGGCGTGTCTCTGGTCAACAACAGCAGCAGCCAGGAGGTCTCTTTTATGGGGATCACGAGGTAGAGAACCAGCAACATATTTACACATTCATCCATGTGATGAAAAATATATAGACTGGATCATACAGGGCAGGTTTTCATATCATGGCCATGGCTCAGTACCATACAAGTAAAAGGTGACAATGTTGTGTGTTTAAATCATGAGTCAACATGGTTTTCTGATTTGCTGTTGAGCTTCATCCAGACTTAGACATTTTATACTCAGAAGAAATTTCTTTAGCCAAAAATGTAGATTGAAATCATACATTTTGTTTTGTGTTTAGTTTTTGTTTAGTTTTATTTTAATGTATAACGGTGTAACAAAATTAAACTTTAAGGTCAGATATCTTCTGATATCAGAAGAGGCTGTTGTGTTAAATGATTGCTGCCGTAGAATTTTATCATAGCGACAGAACGTATTACCTGTACATTATTTAGTTTAACAAATATATTACCACAGCTGTAAACATAGTAGGCTACTTGCATGATTTTTTGCACTTTCCTGTCTCTTGTCATAGCTCTGACGTTGTGTGGGAGTTGAAGCCAAAGAAAAAAAATCGGTGGAAGACTCTTAGCACCAAAGAGGCTGAGATGTTGGAGAACAACTTCAAAGATTACATTGAATCTGCTCCTATAGACAATGCCATCGTCGACCTGGAAAACAACTTCCAGGTTACTCCAGAAATATTACATATTAAATATACCAGATTTTGACAGAAATATGTACAATTTGGACATTTTTTAAAACAATCTCATGTAACTTGTGTAGGGTATATACATTTTGAATTCATAGTGAAAATAATAATTTGTTGCAGCCTAAAGGTTAAAGTTTGTGGTGTTTGAAACTTCCAGGTGTCCTTTACTCCCAATGGAATGGACATGCGGATGCTGCAGCCGTGTGACGCTCCCCTCAGGAGGCACTTCCTGCCCGGGGTGAAGGTGGAGTACAGCGTCTCGCCGCGACAGAGTGCCTACCGTGTCCAAATCCACCGCATACAGGTGAAGACGAGAGTAGTTTGAAATAATAAAATAAATCTCAAACTTTTAGTCTTAAATTTACCTCCACTAAGATCCAACATATCATTGCCTGCTCTTCTTTCCTTCCATACAACAGTTTAACATGTGCCTCCTTTGCTCGTACAGATTCAGAATCAGCTGCCAGGAGCCATCTTCCCCTACGTTTTTTACCCTGTAAAACTGCCGAAGTCTATCACTATGGACTCAGGTCTGTTATTCCGTCTTGTATGTTTAATTGGGATGACACATGCTTCAGTATTTTGGTCTGTACTGTGATTTTATTTTTGTTTTTTCTTACAGAGCCCAAACCTCTGACTGATATCAGCATCGTGACCAGAACAGCAGGACACTCTGACATCTCTCGCATCAAGTAAAAGTTTATACCTTGATTCCCTCCTCATGATTCACTTTTTCTTATTTTTAAGCTGCTTTTCTATGTTTTGTTCAGTCTTTCCTACTCTTAGCAGGCAAGACTATTATTTCGGATATTCCCTATAATCTGAATTCTCTTTTTTATTTGAAAAGCTTGAATGTTTTCTCAGTTTGGCTCCTAAGTGCTGATGCGAATGTCTGTCCACCACAGGTATTTCAAGGTGCTGATTCAAGAGATGGATCTGAAGCTCGATCTGGGCTTCCTGTATGCCATCCTGGACATGTTCAACCCGGAGGACGCCAGCACCATGAGCTCAGAACAAGAGGTCAGATACACACATTCACACCCTCAGTTAACGTAGCTTTTGTCTTTTGTTCAGATTCATGATCCTGTTTATTTGTGCTTGTTTTGCTCCTCCAGGTGGAACTGTTTGAGAAGGACATAGAATATATCAAGACAGAGCTGAACCATGTGTCTGCTGCTGACACTTCTGCCATCAGCCTCTACGAGTACTTCCACATTTCCCCCATCAAGGCATGTGACGTTTTCAGTTTCATAATCATAGCAGCATACTTCTTAACCAATCATAACACTGTCCCTCAACAACATCTTGACTGATTTAAAAAAAAAAGAAGAAATTAATTTGATACATTTTCTGTCAGAACAAAATAAAGCAAGAATAAAACAAGATAAAAATCTATTTTTAAGACACAGGTACAGAGTATATATCTCTGAGTGATGATTACTGATGTGTTTGTGTTTGCAGCTGCACCTGAGTTTCTCTCTGAGCACAGGAGGAGAAGACGGGATGAAGTCGAAGAGAGATACAGAAATCATCCCAGTCCAGTCCCTCAACCTGCTGCTGAAGAGCATCGGAGCAACGCTCACCGACGTGCAAGATGTGGTCTTTAAGTATGTAGGCGACAAATGAATTGTGCACAGTGGTGTTCGTTTATTTGTGTGTGAATGTCGTGGGAGGGGTACGGTGCTACTCGGCTGATTTATATGTCATTTATTTCAGGCTGGCCTTCTTTGAGTTGACCTTCCAGTTTTGCACCACTCAGCAGCTACAGTGGGAGGTCATCAGACATTACTCCAAGCAGGTAACACACACAGACAAACATGCAAAATGACAATCATATAACAGCACAGGAACTGCAGAAGTGACTTTTGTTCCTTTAATTTATGTTTTTCCTTTTTGAAGCTGTACAGTGTAAAAACAGCAAACCAGGCGCTGACACACATTTCTATTTACTGTATTTCAGGCTATTAAACAGATGTACGTGTTAGTACTGGGCCTGGATGTGCTGGGAAACCCCTTTGGACTGATCAGAGGACTGTCAGAGGGAGTGGAGGCCTTCTTCTACGAGCCCTATCAGGTGTGATGCAACAGCTGACCATCAGTAACATGTTGTATCAGTGTTGGATTTTGACATCATACTTCCTTCAACCCTCAATACATTTTCAGAATCTAAAGTGTGTGAGCCGCTTTTAAAAGCTGAATGTTTTCGATTTTTCGAATGTTTAGGTCAACATTTGTTGCACAGCTTTCAAAAGTGTCTTAATGTGTTGTTTGGGGTTTTCCAGGGAGCCATCCAGGGGCCAGAAGAGTTTGTTGAAGGAATGGCTCTTGGGGTAAAGGCTCTGGTGGGAGGAGCTGTAGGTAAGAACCAAATGAATCTATAAATAATATCTCTGTTCAGTGGAACCTGATCCAATTTAGTAGAATATAGAAAAGGGTAGAATAGGTTTTCAGTTCTATTTTATTCTGATCTATTCTTACATACAGTATAAAGTAAAATGGAATACAATGAGACATAGTGACAGTTCTCAAGCAAGAACAAATAACCATTTCATGCAGTGTAGTAACTTGTACACTTTCATATCTGCCGTGCAGGTGGTATAGCAGGTGCGGCCTCCAGGATAACGGGTGCCATGGCAAAGGGTGTCGCGGCCATAACGATGGATGAGGAGTACCAGCAGAAGAGACGAGAAACTATGAACAAACAACCTAGTGGTCTGAGAGAAGGGCTGACCCGCGGTGGAAAAGGACTGGTGTCTGTATGTTTACTGTTCTTTTTTTTAATTTTTTATTGCAAATCAGTAGAAGACACACCTTTCTGATCCTCTAAAGAAACTGAGCACAGGGATTTTGACATAATAAGTAATTAAAACTATTTGATGAAGTAGATGTTTTTCATTTCAGGGGTTTGTCAGTGGGATCACAGGGATCGTTACCAAACCTATTAAAGGTATGTTGACCTTTAAATGAAATAAAGAAATCTCATTGTCTCTACAACTACTAGTATTCATATTAATTTCCACAAGTATGATGATGATGATGATGATGATGTTGATGATGTTGATGTGCAGGAGCTCAGAAGGAGGGTGCAGCCGGCTTCTTTAAAGGTGTTGGGAAAGGTCTGGTCGGTGCAGTAGCCAGACCCACAGGAGGCATTATCGACATGGCCAGCAGTACGTTTCAAGGGATCAAGAGGTATGGTTGTTTCTGTGTGTGCAGTGTGTTCTCCCACTGTGTGTATGTGTTGATATGTTTAGAAGATTTTAGAACATGCTGTTAGTGACATGGCAGAGGAACTTTATATCTGTGTTTGCATGTATGTATGTATGTATGTATGCATCTGTCTTCTGACTGCACGCATGAGGACAATTCTGCATCTCGTCGGGTTTTTAGGGCGGCAGAGACGTCACAAGACATTCAGTCTCTGCGTCCTCCTCGCTTCATCCATGAGGATGGTGTTATACGTCCATATAAGGAGAGGGAAGGCCTCGGCAGTCAGATGCTCCAGGTAAGACGAAAATCTCTTCATCACCAGGCCTCCATAGTCAGACTTAATAAGAGTAAACCATCCTCCCTTCGGCCTGCTTTATTCTAAGTATTCTTAGGTGTTATACTTGCTTAAGAGAATTTATTGTCCTGTTAACGTATCACTAGAAAGCAAGTCAGGTCACTTTTCTCAGCTCCAAAGCAGATATGACGGAGATATTTGATGTTTTGACTCATTCATAGGAAGAAATATGTATTTAACTGCAGCAGATCTACTGTGCTGTGCCACCTCACTCTTTTCATCCCTGCTAATATTCAAATTACATGATCGGTTTCATGTCCTTTGATGTGTAAAAGTTCATTTTCTTGCATATTAAGCTACATCTGAATGAAAGTGTTGTCCTCAAGAGGGAAGAATTCATAATATGTTGTTGATTAGCACATTACCCTGAGTGTGAATCAGAGCCAGTGTGTCAGTCTCATGAGTCTCCCTGTAGATTTTACTGTTTTGGTGCTGCCTCATTTAAACGACAAGCTTTAAGCTGTGGCTCACAGTGTTGTGCTGACGTTGTCTAACAGTCCTGCTGGATGGAGTGGGTTAAAGTGTCTGCATTGGAGTCTCAGGTCAGAGCTTTAGTATTTAGATAATAGTTGGGACTGTGTGTAGGATTTTCTCTTAAATTTACAGATGTGACAAATTTAAGTGCTACAGTCATTAAGAGATGAGCTATCCTGGCCGCTTTTTATTTTACCTTTATATGCAACATTATAACAATGTTTACTAGCCCTGTTTGGACTCTTTCATTCAGTACAACATGGTGTCTATGACCAGAAAATTCATTTTTCCATTGAAACATAAGGTTTGGAGCAACAGCTTCACTGTTCCTTTAACAGAAATCTCTACCAGAGAGATTCTGCAAAAACTGATTCACTTCGTTTGTCATGTTTCTCCTCATTTTACTTATTTTCTATTCATCCTTTAATTTGTCACTCATCTGTATCAACAGCTGCAGAACTCGTCTGTCTCTTTCAATGTGTTTGTAACTCATTGTTCTTCTCCTGCTAAATGCCAATGACCACAGTTCCACTACAAATCACAGTGAACGCCACATTTTGTGCGTAGTTTTGTGTTCCTGTTGTAGCTGTTGCTTGATATCATCTACAAATACATTGTGGCTGAAATGAATCTACTTTATTCTGCTTGTAGGAAACTCCTGACAGCAAAGCAGATGGACAGAAACAAACATAACTGTTCTTAGTGCAACAAGATAAAGAAAACATTCAAAAATACAGCAGAATATTCACCAGTAGAGGAAATACAAGGACAAACATGCTCTCACCTTGGTCTCAGTGACTTTAATTGACACAGTGTAGCATTAAAGTTCTTTATTTTAGTTCCTGCAGTGCTCTTCACATATGATTAATAAACTACTGCATTAGCGTGTTAAGCTTCATCCCATTCATAGGCACATTTACATTTTTACAAAGCATATGAGTGGCTCCAAGAGCTTTTACAACATTGTTCAATGGAGCAAGTTGAGATCAGATATGTCTCAGTTAATTATTATTGAGATGAAGAGATAAATAAACCTAAACCTTTAGCTGTGTGTCAGGAGATTTGAAGGACTTAGTTGTGGTAACTTTGGGGAAAATAAAAGAATGAACATTGGAGGATCACAGTGAGACATTGACCACCTGGTGTTGTCCGTCCTGAGTGATCCTCTTACCTGCCCAGTGTGAACTGACAGACTTAGCATTGACCACTTGTTATCGTGTCTCTCAGGACGTATGTTACAAACTCGTCTGAACAGGGCCAGAGTGACAGTGGAGTGGACCCTTACAGCAGTGTCCTCGTAGAAACAGCCTGTGTCTCTCTCTGCTCTGACCCTCTTCTCTCTTGTCATGTCCACAGATGAGATTGGTCTACTGTGAATGGAGTAGAACTGGCACAGAGGATGAGGGTGATGAGGAAAAAGACTAGAAGCTAGAAGTGAAAGCTGTAGTCTGTAGTCAGTGCTGCAGTTTGTTTTCTGTCAGTCAGCTTTGGTACATTTAAACTAGAGAAACGCCTTTGAGTAAAAAAATATTTTATTTTATATTTGTATTTGTGTGTTTCCTTTATTTTTTCCTCTGTCATAATCTTTGATTTGGTTTTTAAACGTTCTCTTCTTTTTACCTGCCTCTTTTTTTCCAATCATTTCCAACAAGATAAACCTTCTTGTCATTGTTTTTTGGCCGTCCATTATTCCCTCATAAATAATGTCTGTTTTCTTCATTAATAAATATTTGTTTCATCATCCTGTCATTCATTGCCTTTTGTTCTCAATAAAATGTGTTTAAACTTCCACCTTCATTTTCATTATTTCATGCCATCTTTCCTCACTAGCCCCCAACATTTTTCTCTTCCATTAGAGCAGAGGATCATGGGTAGCTCATGTTTATTTGCAGTAAGACAGTTGGAGTGTAGATAACTTGGTATAGAAGTATTTTAGTTTATTTCTGGGTTGTAGTCTTTCATCATGTTGTTTGTTAATCGTCTCTCTGTCTTCTTTCAGAAAATTGAGAATGGACGTTTTGCCAAGTACAGATACTTTGCTCATGCCAAGGTCAATGATTGTGATTTCCTCATGATCACCAAGAGGTGAGGTTTATTTGGCATCTGAGGAGAAGGTTTTACTGTGTTATTGTTGAAATGTTATTGCTAAAATGGACATTTTATCATGTCTGTGCTCTTAATTAGAAGTTGTTAAATCAGTATCCATACCAGTGATGGGAATCGTGTGCATTTAGACCCACTGGATGGTGTTGATTAGCTTTTACTTTTTCCTCTATCTCATTTTAACTTTGTGATTTCTTCTGCAGGGGAATATTCTTTGTGACCAAAGGCACATTCGGTCAGCTGACCTGTGAATGGCAGTACCTGTTCGAAGAGTTCACCAAGGACCCGACGATTGTAGAGGACCGGCGACTACGTATCGAGGCCAAGGTATAAAAAGTCAACTCCAAATCCAAATCAGCCGCTTTTTACCCTCAAGAGTGTCATGTTGTCATCCCTCTGCACCAGCGACAGCCAGTTAATGTCATCATGTTTTTTTCGGGTTGTCCGACTTTCTTCAAATGTGGTACAAATGTTCACTTGGACTCAGAGATAAACCGATTAGATCTAGAGGTCAAAGGTCACAATAAACTCTTTCATATCACAGATTTTTAACAGTAATTCAGCAGATGATTCTTTGTCTTGTGTTCTGCAGGAGAGAGTAAAATCCGTCTTCCATGCCAAAGAGTTTGGTAAGATCATAAACTTCAAAACTCCTGAGATAGCCACGGTGAGTTCATCGTTTTGACTATAACATTTCCTTTTCATATTAAGATGCATCCCATTTTTTTTATTTTTTATAACATAACTTTGATTGTTTTTTTTACTTCAGTGGGTTCTTACCAAACTGGAGGACGCACGAGACAGTTTACCCAAATACTGAATCACCAGAGAGGAGAAAACGATCAGAATCAAAAGAAAGAAAGAAAACATATACGGACGCAGTCTGTGTGCCAGTGCCTTGGTTCTTAACTGCATGCTCGTTTTGTTTACCTCCATGTTTGAGTAGTTGTATGTTGACTGTTAGTGAGTGTTGGGCTTGAGAGACCGGGGAGTAGTTTGTTTGTGCATGCCAGCAGCAGTGCTACAAATTCATTTACCATAGATGTGCTGTCCAACCAAACACGCGTCACTGTCTTCGCTCTATTTGCACTTGTTCATTTGCGCGCACATAAGAGATATCCAACTATATCTATTTTAACAAAAACTACTGCTTGAGTCTAGAGTTTACAAATTTACCTGGTTGAGTCAGCTGGTAAGATTTTGATTTCGAATTCTCAATAGTCCTTCTTGCCGAACTCAAACCCTCATTTAGTTACTTAGTTCATCTGCTTTCACTGAACATATTTCAAGTTGTATTTCACTGTAGAAATGTTACACTGCTATAACAAGAAGGCCCGGATCTAGACTGCTCAGATTAGGGGGACAATTAGAAATTTGGCACACTTCTAGAACTGTGTGAAAAATGTCCCACCCCTGCCCACTTCTAGATCCGGGCCCGATGCCAAGCTAGAAAACATCTCAAATGATGGTAAGGCCAAATAATCTATACTTGTTGTAGCACATTTAATATGCACTGTTTATTTTACTGGATTGTACAAAAGGGAAACTAATTTAGATTTTATCATTAAAATCTGTTTTCTTTTTATTTCTCAATATCTTTCCTCCTTTTTTTTTTATACATTTCTTCAAGATAAAGACTCTTCGGTGTGGGATTTAGAGACGCATGCTATTTTTATACTCACATGTATGAAGCTGCTGTGTATTGATCTCCTATAATACTCTATCTGTATATAAACATCCTAACACAATAGTCTGTTTTATGGCATTGCAGATTGTAATTTTACGACTTTTATGTTTTTATACCACACGTATGCGATGTCAACTATGTGGAGGATTTACGCAGAGGAAAGTAGATTCAAAAGAAATGGATGCTAATTATTATCAGCTGCTGTTGACTCTGACGTTTATATTTTAAAGGTTTTCTTCAGTTTCGGGTGCATTGCAGTTTAATACGACTAAATATTTCTCTTGCCAATAATTTAGTTATTTATGTTTCAGAGGATCAAATTGTTCACTGCAGTGACTTAACTCTTTTTCTTGCTGTTTTCAAAAAAATAAATAAAATATGTGTTTTGAATTTCAATGCTCTATCTTTTATTTCATGTACCCTGAAGATCTCAAACATGTAAGTTGCACGCTTTATTACATATCTGCTTGTTTAAATTACGCTACATAAATATAATTTCCATCTCTCCTGAGACAAAACAGATTTTTCACAGCATGACTCCAGTTATTTAGAATTAAAACAAGATCAGCTCAGTGACTTTCTTGAGTAAATAACCCAAAGAACAGACGCAGGGGCCTCAGAAAAAATATCACTACACAATATTAAAGCAACACTATGTCACTTTTCACTGAGCAATAGCGCCCTCTGCAGCCACACGTGATTCATTCTGTTCCAGGGCCGAATGATGAAGTGTTTTGATGGAGAGAAAAAACAAAACCTATCAATCTGTCGACTGGAGCTCTAATTATGTCGTCTCACACAACTTAATGGAAACACAACAGAACGGTGGTTATTACCCATGATTCTCATCTCCTCTCATCTCACCACAAGAACTCCTGCTGTTACAAATACAACAAACTCTCAAAAGTGTCCTCACTGATTATTGGAGATAAAAAGCAGCTTCTTATTATTTTTTGCTCATCCACATTTCAGCATTACTCTTGAACTTGTTTGGCTTGATTCTGACCGTTGAGGCTGCGAGCTCAGTCTGTTTTCCCATTTCTCTCAGGAGAGCGTACCCACTGGCTTCGTACCATAGAGCAAGAACAGACGTTAAGGGTGAGGAGTGGGAATGAGAGTGACACTTTTCTAAATCAGTGAACCATCAAACTCATTTTGAAGCTGCTATTAGAAGGTGAAAAAGCTGCATAGTGTTGCTTTAAATCACGAGGCTGAACTGTATAATATATCACTTTAATCACTCATAAATACAAAGAAATTAAATCTAAGTAATAACAAGTAAATAAAACAAATTTTCACATTCTCACTTCTTCAGGAAACATATCAGCAGAAATGCAGCAAATGTTGGATAGATCTGTTACAACCTGTTCATATTCTCTTTGGTTGAATTTGGAAAATATAATATTTTTTTAAAGGAAAATATTTCAACCTAAAAAGTTTATTTTTTTGTTTTATGTAATTTTCTTGTCATGTCTCTGTCCTCCTGAAGCCCTTCGTCTCCTCTCTCCTCCTCCTCTTTACACCAGATTGAACTCCTTCAGGTTGTGTCTGAGGATGGTGTCTTTGACGGCAACGAAGACAAAGCGGATGTTTTCTGTGTCTGTGGCGCAGGTGAAGTGCGGGTACAGAGTCTTGTCCTTTTCCGGGTTTTGTTCTTGGTACATCTTCAGGATGAATTCTTGAGCTGCTCCAGGATCCTGCTGAGGTCCTGCAATTCAGGGTCGATGTTATTTCACTGTGGCGTCAGAAAATTCAACATTTTTTTCATACTCAGTGTGAATATTAATGGAGGGTGTGTCTCCAGATGATTCACTCTTGGAGCTGGTCAGTCAGGGTTGGAGTTGAGGTGGACGGCACCCCTGCAGCAGAGCTTGTTGTATTTACTGAGTTTATGCTGAATTCTGTCTGTCTGACAAAAACATTTTTATGGATGTTTTAATGGACAATGGTAAGATTTTTTGCTGCTGATGTTGAATCTGACTGACAATAATTGAACCGGTTAACTTGAATCTATCAATCAGATAATCACAGATTGGAAATCTAGAATCTAACCATAGACACACAAACCTACTGTCATATAACCCATGACCGACCTGCGTTTGAATTCAAGATGATTTTACAAACTAACAAACCTCTGAATTCAGGGAAGTAAGTGGATAAGTGAGAGTGAATGATCTTCTCCCTCAGGATGTCAGTCTTGTTGAGGAAAAGTATGATGGAGGAGCGCTGGAACCACGGGTAGGTGATGATGGTTTTGAACAGAGCCTTGCTCTCCTCCATACGGTTCTGAAATAAAACATGTCATAGCATGAAGAGGCAGATGATGACGACACATTTGAAAGGATCAAAGTCTGGTGCACCATCAATCTGCTGCCGAACTGAACTCTCACCTCGTTGTCACACTCCACCAGGACCTGGTCGTACTCGCTGAGCGCCACCAGGAAGATGATGGAGGTGACATTCTCAAAGCAGTGGATCCACTTCCTCCGCTCTGACCTCTGACCCCCCACATCCACCATCCTGCCACAAAACAACAACCAGTCAGAACCACATCACATCAGTTCCAATGGAAATCACTTGAGCTGTTACTGACGACGTTGTTATGTTGGGTCTTACCTGAAAATGACATTCTCCATGTCGAACGGGTATTCAATGATACCTGTGGTCGGCACTCGGACTCTGAGGATGTCCTGAAGGTCGGGCACATACGACGGCTGAGTAATTCGATCCAGGCTGGTGAGATAGCTGGAAATCATGAGCAGAAAATAAGCAGAGGGAGAAATAAAAGAAGTGGGAAAAAAAATGAATATTCTGGATTTTGTGGCTATTTGGACAAAAGATATTCTAACTCCTTCACTGAATTTAAGAGCTTATATAGTTAGCATATATATTTATTTTTTCTTATATATATATATTATTGTCTTAAATTTTAAATTTGCAGTAACAATATAAAAGTCATCTTTAAGTGTCTTCAATGATAGTTACTGTGATGACCCGTCCAGAATGAACGCTCACTTCCTGTTTTATTTTTATTTTCACGAGCTCTGTTCATGGACTCCATCTTCACTTCCTGCCGCTGCACTCAGCACACCTGCGCCCGGTCACTCAGCCAGTATATATACACCTGCCCTCACACACACTTCCTGCCACGTTGTCTCCGCACGGTGATCCTTCAGCACTCACTCCTCATGTTGCCTGCTTTTCTTTCGGCTCTGAAGCTTTGCTGCCTTGTTCTGGTTTTGCTTGCTAGATTTTGAGATTTCTGCCTGTGGCTTCTTTGTATTGTTTTCATCGCTGACTGCCTCCATGTGTACGACCAGAAGCCATCGTGCTTTTAAAGTTGTGGCCCAACACTATACAATACTCTCCTTATAGATTTGCAGTCTGCAGTATCTATCTGAAACCTGTTTCTTCACACTGGCTGTCTCACCGCGTGAGTTGTGCCTCGTGTTTGAGCCTTTGCATCTTTCTTATCTTTCTGCTGCCTGTTTTTCATTTTTATTGCATGTATTTATTATGCATTACTTCTTTCTTGTGTTCACACTTTGTACTTGAAGCATATCGAGTTAATTGAGACTGTTAGTTTTGAATGAACCTCTTGTATACTTTTGAGACCATGTTCTGTGACGCTGACTCGTTGAGTCCCTGTTGATTTGTCTTGTTTCTGTAATATCTGTGCTGACCATGTGGCAGAGCTGGAGAGAGCAGGATCTGTGTGTAACTCTCACTATTTGGTGGAGTCTGACAGCTGGTACTCTCTGCGTCGGTTGTAGCACTCCTGTATTCCTTTATCGGTCCACAGACAGTTGATGGCCGATGCCGTGGCTTGATCCAAAGTCTCCACCTTATCCACTTCCACCTCTAGGATGGAGTTTGCATAGCTCTGTAAACACACACAGACGGACACAGAGAAAAGTAGGACAAATATACAATGGTCCATCCCTCATTTCCCCAACTTGACAGAGTATAAATTATGATGCCGAGACAAATATTAACCAAAGGAAACCTGACTCTTGAGTTAGCCCACCTGGTTCTTAGAGTCAGAGAAGGATATTCTGAGTGCCTCCATGGCTCGGATCATCGTCTGCATGGACGTGTAGATGTTCTGATAGACCAGTTTGATGTAGCTCTTCTTGTCCTCAACTGTGAATCCTCCTCCGTGTATAATCCTCATCTGTTTGATAAAGGTGCTCTTTCCACTCTCTCCAGTACCTGGTGGACACAGCCACCGTTACATCCAATAACCTCATTTTACATACGAGCACTTTTAACATTATTGTATCTTAACCTACTGAATGTTAGGACATCATGTTTTGTCTGTGGCCTGTCAGTGATTGTGTTAACATCTTGGCTGAGTTGTCAGCAGTGGTCTTTGATTGATTAATTTGGTGATCAAAGAGGATTGTGTTAAGAGATAAAGGCAGAGGAGAGTGAGTGAATGACATTATTTTATAACTTCCATGTTTGTCTAGTCAACAGCATATTGTATAAAATAAAAGCTGTAACACATGGATCTGGATATTTTAAAGTAAAAATAATAATTTTAAAGTGCAAAGTAAGTAAAACCACTTACGTACCATCAGCAAAATGTATTAAGTTTAATATAGAATCATTGCCATGCAGTTGTATGCCTCCACCACCCAGTGCACACTGCATTTCTTTATTATCTATTATTACTTTTACTATTATTATTATTTACATTTTTTCCAAATTTGAAAGGACTCTCTTGGGGCATTCTCAAGATAATGTGTTCACAAGGCAAAAAAACAGTTCTGTGAGATCACAGTGACCTTTGACTAATAAGTGAACTGATTATTTGTACCAAATCAGAAAAAATTCCCTCGATTGTTGAGATATCGTGCTCACAAGAACGGAACAGACAGACGAGCATAAAAAGTGAAAGTAGCTGTTATTCAGTTCAAGACAGACATCATTTATTTACTGCTGAGAAGTACAAGAGATTCAGTTTTAGAAAATGTATTGATTTCTATGTATAATATTGAACTTCAATCTATATAAAAAGAAATGTATCAGAGTAAAGATGTGGAGCATTTCAATGAAATTTCAGCAGCAACATCAATATTCAGGTACAAGTACCTGAAAATTGTGGAGAAAAGTGTAGTTTGTGCAGTACTTGAAGAAATGTATTTGTATTCCAGCACTCGTAAACATACATCCAGCATGTGATCTGACAGCTTCACTACAAAAGTCTTCTGTCTGTCTCTGTGAAACTTGTTGCTAGGAGTCAGGCTGGAGTAAATACTAAGCAAGCTGTAACGACCATTGATTAGTTAGATAAACAGGCAAACTGAATGATTTGAATGTATATTTGACTGCCAAAAGGACGTCTGTGCACATCTGGGTGCTGCAGGTGAGAGACGTCCTCTCCAGGTACATTTTGACTTAAATCCATGAAATGACACATGCTTCCAAACTGAGATTTTGATCCAGAAGTTGAGAATAGAAAGATATTATAGGTAATAGAAGGTATTTAAAAGAAAATGGGTGTATTGTAGATATGAAGCACCTCCCTGGCTACATGGAAATAAAAAAGCGTTTCAGTATAAGTAAGCTGGGAGTGGCCACCACAGCCACAGCCACATTAGTTTACACTATACCAGTTTTATATATAAGCTTTTAGGAAATGTGGTCTTAACACAAAATAGCATAATGCTAAGAGTGGACAGAGTGAATGTTTGGACACATGCTTATAATAATAGTAGTAATGATAACGTAAAATATAACTGTGTCCTTAGCGTAACAATGCTACGTTACATGATGTTTACTGAAGATATGACCATGATGAAAACATTTTCAGACATGACCTGTGAATCCAGCAGAGTTCTCTGTTCTCACATCACATTCTTCTGGATTTCTACCGACTTTATAAAAGGTCAGGTGGATAAAGTCCGCAAAGACTACAGAGCCTCTCACTGCGACGTTTGCATTCACAAACCTCCTCCGGAGAAAATACGGAGTACGTACGACATGCTTAGTGCATGTCTGAAAGCAGCTTTACACACACACACACACATACACACACACACACACACACACACACACACACACACACACACAGTCGCACAGTCTCTTACAGCATAAGATCCTGATTGTCTCATTCGGATAAGATGACACTAAATCTTTTTGTTTAACAAATGTGAGTTTGTTATCAGTCCTGAATATTGGAAGTCATCATGTTTGTAAGTGGGGGTTGGGCCATGTGCGTGTGTGTGTTTGACTCGGAGCAGTAGCTGCTGTTTTCTGGTTTCCTGGGTGCTTTGCATGACTCCATGAAAACTTGAGTCTTTACATCTTGGTAAACAAGGCTTAGACAAATCGTCTGCATTTGAATGCACCTTGTTTACAAGTCAAGTTTCTTGGAGGTGGGGGGTGATCATGCATGTCTGCTATGTTCTGCTTGTTCAGAGAGAGTCGGCCTTCACTAAACTCAGTAAACATCTGCATATGTTTTCCACTGATTATTAAAATCGTGTTCGTCAATCAACTATTGACTGGTGAGTAACAGATATCTTATATTTACCAGTCAAGGAGGTGTGTACAAATATCTAAATACTGAGCGGGAAGTGGTAATTTTACAGTTATATTGTACAGAACTGCATTTTAAACTATTTCTATTTATTGAGCTATAATTTAACTTAATCTTCAAATTCATTGACTATTAACCCAATAGCTCTGTGAGTGAACCACCCTTTTCATTATGCTTCATATCATATGACAGAATCTTTTCATAGCCATAAATCACTGAATAAGATATTATAACTAAAGAAAACTGCATTTATAAACTTTTTAAGTCAAATTTAATTGTTTAGTTTGTAAATGAATACTATATATATTAAATTTACTTATATAATATTTATTTGCCTACATTTGTGTCTGCACATCTCAGGGTGTGGGTGTGTGTGTTTGTCTTAGTCAAACAATGTGGTGTTTTACTGTTTTGCTAGGTGTGGTGAGTGCTGACCACAGATGTCACCACACACACACACACAGGGACAACATAGCGACCTGATGTCGGCTGTTTGAATGAATGGGGAGTTTTTATCTGTGAGATAAGAACTACATTCTTCTGACACAACATAAACAAACTCAAACAATTATGATCATTATGACATTATTATGATGTTTTATGATATGATGTATTATGATATTATGACATAATATTTCAGACATGTCTTACAAGTTCCAGGTGGTGTCAAAGTAAGAAACTATAAATAAACTGATATTTTTTTGTTTCTCGACACCTAAACAAGACATGAATCTCTTTTTGCAAACAGCAGTCATTCAAAAATTAACGTCTTGTCTTCTTCAATTACTAAAACCAATAATTAACATTGTCTGTTCCTCAGCATGAATGTTCTCTCTGTGTCTGGTGCTTGCTGAGTCTTATTGTATTCATAGTTAATGCTGATAACTACATCTATCAACATGCACAGGTCTACATGGTGGATATTCTGTAAAAATGCTCAGATAGAGCTTGTTTTTTCATGTTGTCCAGAATAACAATACTTGTATAATGTAGTGTCTACAGCTCAGGTTTCTCTAAAGTCTGAGTCTGTGAGCCTCTCCGCAGGCTACAGGTGAAAGAAGATGCCCTCATCACCCTCCATAGTTTACTTACTAAATTCTGCTCGATTCCTCGACAGCATCATAATTAAACTGAAGGATTCCATAGACCCTTGATTGCACAACTGAGCCTAGAAAGCCTAATGTTGCTGTTTGACATAACTTAATACTACATTGATTAAATAAAATACATTTATTAGTTTCTGACTCTGAGAAAGTGGGAAAACTGTAAAATTCCTCCAAACTACTGGATCTCTAAACTACATCTATAACCAAATCACACGTATTTAAGTTATGAGCTGTGATCTCTAAGTGAAGACCTGAGGGTCCAGATCAGTGCTGACATGTCCATGTTGTCCCAAAACCACTGAACTTACATGAGAGTCAGATTGAAAACGTGTTGATGTTTCTTTCTGCTTCACTGCCGCTCATCCTCTCTGGAGGTCTGACTGTGACCATTATAATGAAATCCACTGAGAACTCTGAGTCACTCTGACTCATAGAGAACGCTCCAAAAATGACTTGCTTATATGACATGTATCCAGAGGGTAAGATTCAAGATACACAACTTGTAATGAGTACAGAACTATTGCTAATCATGGAGGCTCATCATTCTTCTGTAGTTACTCTTTTGAATTCTTTGTGTGAGTTTTGAACACAGTCATCTTTTATTCTGGTGACCTGTTAGACCTGTTCCTGCTGTATTTCTTAACACTTAACATCTACAGATCCTGTCTATGCAGTATGTTGGACATCTACTCTTACAGTCAGTAGGAAAATTAATTATCAGAACAAATAAAATTGGATCTAAGATAAATGTTGCTTTAGCCTTTATGAGCAGCAACCAGATGTTCTTTTTTGTGAGAAATCCCCCTCTGAGAGAGCGGTGGAGGAAAAGTTACGGCTGACGTCCTGCCCAGGGATGGTTTTGCATGATGTTTGCATGAGGTGCAGCGTGCAGCAGCTACTTCTGTCTGGCCGAGGCCTCGACAGTGACTCATTTCTCTGAAGTGCTCCCACAGGGCTGCAGTATAATGGGTGTGGCACAAAGCTCTGATAGATGCTGTCTAGATGCCATGTGGCAAAAACACCGTTTCCTCTTTCACTTGCTCTGCTCGTTGTTCCCAGAGCTACAGAAGTTTTCAAAAATAAAAAAGATGGGAATTGGTTCACTAATCCAAACGGAGCAGGCAGGAAACATTAAAACCTAACTTTTGGTGAAGAAGAACCTGAAATGTATTCAGAAGAGGCCGAGACTTAAACACAATGACGTAGTAGACCTTTGCGTTAGGTAATAGGCTACACTCAGCTAGTACTTTTACTTCAAATACTAGTAGTACATTTAAAAGTAAGTATTTACTTACTTTTACTTAGGTAGAAAAGTGAATGTGGTGCTTTTACTTGACTACATTTGTGTTTATTTATTTGTACTGTTACTTAAGTAAAATGTTTACACTTTCTCCACCACTGGTGAAATATGTTTGATACAAGAAGGGCGGCATCCATGAATGCACCTGACCCTGCTGGAGGTCAGCGAGCTCAAGGAACTGAGCAGAGTTTCTGTATCATCAGAATCTTTACATCTAACACCATGACACAGAACAATATGATTAATGGCACTGTTTACCAATCCTACTATAATCTCCTTAATTTTCTTTTCATAGTAGTTTTCCTTGACCCCCTCTACCTGGTAAAACCCCCATAAGGTTGGAGTTTATAACAACAGGGGACGAGTAAACGCCCGCAGACAACTTGCTCAAGGATGAAAAGTGCAGTGCGTAAAATTGATCGAGCGCAGCACTGAATGTATGTGGGAAGACGCCAGTGCCAGTGCACCACATCCGGAGACAAGACACGAGGGATGAGGAGGAAGGAAAGTTCAACAAGAGTTAGATATGAAACTTGTGCTTCCTCACTATTCATGACATGCATGAGTATTCTAGCCTCCCATTCCCTATAACTAAATACAGGATCATCGCCGAGCTGCTGAGCGCTGCTCCACCTGCCATGATGTGTGTCCAGGTGTGGTCAGGAAGCAGTAATAGCAAATTCAAAGCTGTTCTTGGAGCATCAATACATCCAGTCTCTGACACTGCACGGTGTACACCCAAGTATCAAAATAAAAAGAAGAAGTTAGTATTCAATTAAGAGCTTTAGAAGATCATTTTACGCACTACGAGTTTCATCTCATAGACCATATCCTCATTTTCACCAGTGTCGCACACTTACTTTGGGATGAAACTCTTGGTGCGTAAAGATTGTTCCATAAAAATGAACGAAAGATCCTATTATGGCCCAATCTTTACGCACCAAGTTTCATTCATTAAGACCAAATTCTTATTTTCACCTGTGCCACTTAAATCCTTTTGGATATGTTTTGTGTGAGACTGACTGTTTCATCCAGTGTGCAGCTGTGTATAAACCTCCTCCACTCTCGGTGGTTGATGGTGTGACTGGTGCTCACCTAACAGCAGCAGCTTCAGCTCCCGGCGCGAGTCCTTCTTGTCTCTGCGCAGCTGCTTCTCGATCTCCTCGTTGATCTTCTGGTTCTCCTTATCCTCCGCCGACACACAGCAACATCCAGCCATCACTTCCCCTCAGAAAACAACCTGTCTGCTCGCCAAGGATCCTCTACTGTCACAATGAAAATAGGCGACTTCTTCCCTCTCACACCTCACAAAGGATGAGGAAGAGGGTGCAGATCATCTTTGAAATGAATTCCTTCTTTTCCCCTCTCAAATCCCAAAGAAAGGATGAGTTAAGTGAAGAAGGGGAGGAGGAGGAGGTGACTCTAAGGTTTTAAATGAATAATCTGTGGTTGAACCCTTGGAGAAGAGTAACACTTAGGAACCAGAGCTTGGTCTGAAGCTGGAGGTCACTTGTTGAACTTTAATACAGGCGACTCGTGAGGGCGTGGCAGAAGTTGCAAATAGAAACAGGCATAAAATGGGAAGTGAACCTCACCAGCATGTGCACTGTGGTGTCTCTACTCAACAGGGACTAGATGAATAAATTAGTCAAATATGAATGGAGGAGTTAAGACACTTGGTTTTAACCACAGAAAGCTGTGCCAAGAAGAAGAGGGAGCCAAAGGCTTCATGTCTCTGAACTGGTAACATGTTGTGAGTCATTTATCTTTATATGTTTTATACCATCACGTCACACATGGTTTATGGTGACATCAGGGTGTGAAACCTACTCCACACTGCGATGTCTCTTGGTGACCACTAGGAGTCGTGAGGGCCAAACTTGAGGAGTGAATGTAGGTCGTGTCCTGGGCTCGTGAGAAACCTTAACATCTTTTACACTTTACAATCATCTAGGAGACAAATTATTATTATTGTTGTTGTTGTTATTATTATTATTGATTCAACATTTGAGATGAAATTCTTGTAAACAAAGTCACAAAAGATCATTAGAGATGATAATGTACTAAAAATGTATTATCTTATGACAAATCAACTACGGAGTAAACAAAGCTAGCTTCCTGTTTTTCCTGTAGTCATATCTCCCTATAGGTTTTCTGTTGTTTCTCTTATTTAGTTTTTGAACGATGTCTTTTTGCATATTAATAATATAAATTACCTTTAAGGGGAAAAATAACCTCACATGCTGCTGAAAATGATGCCGTTCAGTGAGCACGTGTGTCGAGCTCGTCCACCAGTTTTCCTTGTGATAGGCCCTGCTGTCGATTGTCAGATTTTCATTTGCTTTGACTGGAGGTTAACTTGTCCAAGTGGCTGTCATCCACCAAAACCAAACTTCAGTGGGAAAGCACCAGCCAGCTGAAATATCTGAAAAACAACAGGAGCTCAGACTGAGGGCTGGTTACCTGCCAACGTGGCTGCTAGATGCCAAACCAAAACCAAATATGGCAGAACAAAAACTCCACTCTGCAGGTTGCTGCTGTTGGATTTTGAGACTTTGTCTTAACACTGTGCAAAACACATTCCGACGTGGCTGCAGGAGCACTGCTGCTCAATCAATCAATGCATTATGGATGTGAAGACGTGAATCTGATGAAGGATGAACGGTATCATGTGTGTTCTGAGTACAGCTCCCTCACTATGTTCTTATGATGTAATTAATTCTGACGCATCAACTACATGAGCTGGCTTCAAACTGCAAGCACAAAGAGAGACCACCAGGCCCAAAACTCAGACAATCCTCCAGCTGCATGATGGGACATAATTGGCCACATCAGTGTCACTTCTCGTGAAAAACACAGGTATTGCATCGGACATCAGAGGCACAGCTTACTCAATATAGACTGTCAAGAGGTTCATTAGAGGGGGGGATGGTGTTTCCATATTACAACAATAGGATGATTACCTCTTTCTTAAAGATATATTTTTATCAAATATGAGCCAAAGCAACACTGTCCTTGACGACCGTCCACCTTTTTTAAATAAAACCTTTTCCCCTAAATAGGACGGTGGTGGCTGAGTGCTCAGGATAACACCATTTTGGGATAGGACTTATAGATCTCAAAGTTTATCAATACTTATTGAGGAGCCACGTGATGAAATACAAATAAATAAATAGAAAAAGATTTAAAAGAAAATCAATGTGATGGGATCACACCTACATGGCAATGCTCTGTTCCTGAAGCCACTAAACAATTATAATTAGCCCTGTAGGTTCTGCAATTTCTTCATTTAAAAAAGCTTCTGTTAATTACCGGCTTAACGTGTTGTTGGATAATTATAATCCTCGTTTTGCATTTCTGAAGGTGAACAATGAAAACAGGCATGTTTTACATTCTCTTTAAAAAAAGGAAACAAAAACAAACATGTAAATAACATCTTTTTTTTCTTCCAAAAAATGAATTTTCCATTAGACATACAATACAATTACATAGATACATATTTTCAATACCACACATTCAATCTGCCCAAAAAATGTAATGATTACAAAGCCAACAAAGATGCTGCCATATATATAGAGAGAGATGTATGTACAATGATTATAGCATTCATAATTGCACTATGCCTCAATAAATGTAAATTACAGGCTTATGTTCTATAGAATTCTTACAAAAAAAATACTCCAAAGTAACTCGGAATGAGGAAATCGCAAATCACAGGTGCCAGAGACGAGAAGGGCTTACTTTGGTACCAACTGATTATCAACACTCTGCCTTTTGACATGGGAAAGAGCCAAATGTGTTGTCCACTGCTGTTGGACGAAGACAGTCCAGACAGCAGGCAGGCTTTGATTAGACAAATATAAGGACATGGCTAAAATGTGACCGGACAGTCTGCAGGTCAGGAGGGAGGCTGCCTCCTCTTTAACCAAGCAGTGTAGCCTCGGTTGGTCCAAGCTGTGGTTCCTCGTCTGTGCGTGTGTTTGTGTGTAATACCGTTATTTATTGAACACTTAAAAAACTGCAGGAGTCAGTTGATCAATACGTCGGTCCCCCCTGCTCTCTCCTGTTCTCAACACTTTTTGTTCCATCAAAAGTAATAATCAGCGCAATGTGGAGCCGTGAGTTGTTTTGGTATTGGCAAATAAATATACATACTAGCATATTAAAAGCACTAATGTGGCACAGCTGAACATAATCATTTGACAACATTGTCTTATAAATTATCACCTCCTCCTCCTCCTCCACCACCTCATCGCCCAAAGCTTCGAAAGCATCTTTAAAGCCAATTTCTCTCTCTTGAAAGTCGCGGTCACGTGATCATTACTCAACTGTGGCTGTGTGCTTCCGAGGTCGCAACACCTGCCCTTACTCATCGCATGGTACCAAAGTCAATGTGATAATGATAATAATATTAATAATGATTATTGAAGTCAATCAATATCAAATCAAAATGAAATAATTTAAAAATCACAGTTTATGCCAAACTCATCAACAGACTTGCCTATGGATCCTTTGCAAGCTGTTGATTGGAGATGTGTTACATCACTTCCTGTTGGGCAAACAGGTAAAAAAAACGCAAAAGAATGAAAACCTTTTTTTAAATTCTTGTTTATAAAAAGGAAGGAGGGAGGGGGCACAATCATTCCGGCTCTGATGTCTCAGACTTACGGGCAAAACAAACACCCCCCTCCCACACCCCCAGGACACACAGTGGTCCCTTTCTCTGTCAAAAAACAAACAAGGGCAAATGCGCAAAAGCCTAAAAAATGAGGATCATTGTTGCACATGTTCAACAGCAAATACCTCCCAACTCTTCCACGTCCTGCCCCCTCCCTCCCTAGATTTTATCAACTCCTTAAAAAGCAAAAGAACATTTACTCTGCTCACCCCTTGGTGACCAAGAGATCCAAAATGGCAAATAAATTAATATTATGCATCAGATTTTTTTTTCTCAGAATTTCTTTTTTCTGTGTGTGATCTCTCTTTTCACAGATTGCATCAGTCAGTGTGTGTTGGGGGCCTCTGCTCTACACCAGGTTGTACTCCTTTAGGTTGAGCTGCAGGATGGTGTCTTTGACGGCGGCAAAGACAAAGCGGATGTTCTCCGTGTCAGTGGCACAGGTGAAGTGAGAGTAGATGATCTTATCACTGTCTGGATTCAGGTCCACAAACATCTTGAGGATGAACTCTCGGCCTGCTTGGGCATCCCTCTGCGGACCTGGAGAGGAGGAAATGACGCTCCGTCAATGCACGTGCTATAAAAACGCCATGTGCCTTTGTCCCGAGGTGATCAGACATGATCAGCTGTGTAGTGAATGATCACACTGCTAATACATCATCAAACTTTGTCTGGAGTTAAAGATACCTGGAGGAAACTAATGCTGTCAGAACATTTCTTTAGATATTCTTGCAAGATAGTGCAGGTCAATCTGTGTGGACCAAGGTTATTAAAGTTTTGAAATTTTCATTAGTTTTTATTTTTATTTCATCTTTCAGTTTGATTTTTTTATTTCAGTTTAGTTTTAATTGGTTCAACAAGTGATTTCATAGTTTTAGTTTAGTTTTTATTTTGAGGAATCGACTAGTTTCAGTTTAGTTTTTATTTAGTTTTAGTCTTAGTTTTAGTTTTTCCAGGTATTAAGAGAAAGCCTTGACTTGTAGAAGCTGAAAAAGGATGAAACAGTGTGTGACACCAAATATGGTTTATCAAGTCCTTTAATTTCATTCTTTAACCATCACCTGCAGGACAGGCAGGCATGACAACAAAAACGAAGCTGAATTTATCTGCAATTCAGTTTAGTTTTAGTTAGTTTTGCATTGTTCATTGTAGTTTTTATTTAGTTTTCCTTTTTTTTGTAATTGTTGTTTTTATTTTTATTTCAGTTAACTAAATAATTTTTTCATTGCTAGTTTTAGTTTTCAGTTTTTAGTTTTAGTTAACTATAATAACCCTGGTATGGACATATTATTATGGAGTAAAATATTTGTATTTGCACCAGATTCATATTGAGATGCTGTTTTTCAACAATTAAACACTAGAAATCAATTACATCTATTATCGATTGATAATCACGTGTTTGAGAAATGGTCAGTTTATTAGTCATTAAATTAATCCATTCAGAACTGTGGGCATTTTACCATAATAATGGTAACATGAAAAGGCTTGCATGCAATTAACTGGGTTATAATGAAGAGATGTTTGAGATCAGCCTGATCGCATATCAAATTGTTACATTAATTACACTTTTAAATAATTGGTTAATTAGCTGATAAAAAAATGCTACATATTTGATTTATATGATAAAAAACACTTTTGTAGTAGAACAATTGTTACAATAATCTATCATGGTCTGAACACAGAGCCTCAAACAAAGATGCATATTGTTGGGGGCATGTAGTGAATAATGGTATTCTCTGTGCAAACAGGTGACTTTTGTCCTGGTGTGTAAACTTGCAGCTTATCTAAAAAAAAATCTCAGTGCTTGTTTGAACAGTTGAATGTTTGGGTTTGATGCTATGCTGCCATCACTCACCATCGTATTCTGGGAAGTAGTCGACCAGATGAGAGTACATGATCTTCTCCTCCAGCAGGTCCTTCTTGTTGAGGAACAGGATGACGGAGGAGTTCTGGAACCAGGGGTACGTGATTATTGTCCTAAACAGAGCTTTACTCTCCTCCATCCGGTTCTACAGAGAGAGAGTGTGTGAGAGGAGGGAGGGCGAGGAGGAAAACATACAGAGGGGAGAGAAGAGAGAAGCAGAGAGACAGTTAATCATTGAATTAAACCACAGTCTTTCTTTTTAATAAACATTTAATAAGCGCACCAGAGGGGGGGAGCAGCAAGGATGAGAGAGAAGGGCGGACATGTCGCCTTCAAGGGTTTAATCTCTGCCTTGCACTTGATTTCAGAGTTTAATTGAACAAAGCAACCATTTTAAAAAGTAAGCTTGTGATGTCACATCACAAGTGCTGCAGTGTAAAGCTCAGCATTTTATCCAGAAAATCATAGTGTGGTAGTTTAGACAGGATGCGCAGATGGTCACTAACATGAAGGAAAACACATGGACACAAAACCAGACTGACAAACATATGAGCGCACACCTGCTCATTAATACACAGAAACTGACACTGGTGCTGTATCCTCTTAAAGAGTGTGGCCTGAGGCAATATTCAAAACAGCTGGCTGATCATTTACAAATGTTTTCCAAAGAAACAAGAGGTGGGACTCTCCCAGGCTGGAGGGGAAACTCATTTTCATCGTTTTACATAAGGAGGCGCTCTTGGTCTTCTGGCTCATCTTTCGCATCACATTAAATATCCATCCATGACATAAATCTGCTTATCCTTTAGGGGTCTGGAGCCAATCCCAGAGGACATTGGGAGAGAAGCGGGGTACATCCGGGACAGATCGCCATCACAGGGCCAACAAACAGAGACGCAACTACTCTCACACCTCTGGGCAATTGAGTCTTAAATTCACCTGACCCCAATCTTCATGTCATTATATCGAGGGAGGAAGCAGGAGTACCCACAAAAAACCAACACTGACACAGGGAGAACAAGCAAACCACAGCCCCACCTACATGAAATACGTTCAGTGATGGAAACTAAGCATCACATCAACAAAATAAACCACTTTTAGTTTCAAATCTCTTTTTCCAGATAAAGAGACTGAAAACATTTTGCACAAATGTATAAATGAATCACCTCGTTGTCTGATTCCACCAAAACTTGGTCATACTCGCTGAGTGCCACAAGAAACATGATGGATGTGACGTTCTCAAAGCAGTGGATCCACTTCCTTCTTTCCGACCTCTGACCTCCCACATCCACCATCCTGTTAGCCAGGAGAGAGACGGACAGTCGTTAGAAGCACTGATAAATATTTGAATCACCAGAGATATTATGAACATCCTGAGGAGCCAAACAGGAATCAAACTTGATGACACTGCCGATCATTGGGATCTGACTCTGACCTTAGTCCGATAATCGGGGAATAGAGAATAAGTGACACTTGAGAGATGAGGAATTTTCAGTAAAATACTAAAAAAGTAAGTTCAGTGTGGAGCTTTTTCTTAAAAACATAACTTCGTAAGTTATATGAGTAAAAGCAGTGATGTTACACCTAAAAACTAAAAAGGTGGTTCCATGAAATATTAAGCAGTGCTTTCAGAATTCTACAGATGGAAACCTGAGCTTAACAAAGCATCATATTTTATTTATCTTCTATTAGCTTACTCTACTTTTTGCATATAAAATATTCATCCATGATGTTACTTGTAAGTACAACCATAAGATGAATGCAGGCCAGTTAAAAGTACAAAATCTTCCTTTTAAAAGCTACTGAAGTAAAATTTGTATCTCCCAAAATGAAAACTGAATAAATGTACTTTATTACTTTCATCCTATGAGATACACAGTCATGCTGTGGTGTGAACATATCAAACCATCTTCCTTTTCATCAACAGCTGTAGTTGAATGTTTTTATTTTTTAATTAGGATATGAATGGTAGTTCCTTTTCACATTTCACTTGTTCTGTACCTTCCTGATCTTCGGTGTCTACAGCAGTGCGATTTTATTTTAGATCCGATCAGATCTTACCTGAATATGACGCTCTGCAGGTCAAACGGGTATTCGATGATGCCCGTGGTCGGGACTCGAACCCTCAGCACGTCCTGCTGGGTGGGAAGATAGGATGACTGGGAGATTCTGTCCAACGCGTTTAGGTAACTACAGAGGCAGAGAAAAAGATTTAGTGGTTTGTCATCAGGAACACTGTGAAATTAAACTTCAGTTGTTTCTTTAGCTGTTACTTTCATGTTTTGCTTTATTTTCTTAATTTCTAAACGGGTTAAATTCATAAGGTGCTCAGAGGAGTGATGTTGATCTGGATCCATTGTGATGTCTACTCACTACTTAGTGGAGTCTGAGAGTTGGTATTCCCTCCTACGATCATAACACTCCTGGATGCCCGGGTCATTCCACAAGCTCTTGATTGCATCTACGTAAGGATTCTCTAACCTGTTGACCTTTTCTACGTCCACCTCCCTCACGATGTTGGCGTTACCCTGGTGGAGAAACAACGAGAGGAAAAGTTTTTTACTGCAACAAAGGAGAAACCTCAAACATTTTCAGTCTCAGGATCTTTCAAACTATTCAAATGCAGGTTGAACAATTTAATTATCACGTCTTTATTCTCTCACTCTATATCCAGAAATGTATTTGCACCCCCAGGCTCAGCCAGACCTCATATCTGAAGCTCAAATCCCGGCGGGCCTATTAAAGGGGAAAGTTTTCACGCCCCACATTCTCATTAAAACTCTCCAGTGTCCCACGACAAGAGACCGACATGCGCCTGAATGTCGACACAGTTTCACAGTTTCTTTATGATCAAAACTTAATGGTAGCATGGTGTACAAGCTGAACAGACCTGATTTCTTTTTTGACACTAATGCCTAGTTCACACTTTTTTAAGCCAGATTTGTCATCTCGCCCATCAGAGCCAAATCGGCCCTCGATCGGCTGCCATCAATCTCCATGTGTGAACCCTTGATTTGAGAGGCTTGTCATCCCATCACCTTGTCCAACTAGATATGTACCCAGCAAAATAGATAAACGAATCAGCAGCAACTACAGACCGGACACAAGAGTTGGTGAAAGACGGTGTGGTGTGTCGTCCTCCGTCATGTAGTGTCAACTCATCACGACTAAACAACTCCCATCACACAACAGCTAGTCATGTAGTGTGAACTGCAGCGACCCGATGACTTTGATAAGTTTTGGAGTGTAAACTTAGCGTTTGTCGTGTTTGGTTGAAAGTCCAGCAAAACATTTTTTTTGCAAGGTAACCAACTCTTCTTTGTCAGATTTATATCGGCATGTTGAACATCTCAGTGTATGACACATGTTTAATTTAGATTAAATTAGATTTTCGCACAGAGTTATAGATTTAATTTAAAAACAAATCCCACATGTACATTAGCAGAAGTTTACACTGTGAACAGGCTCTTATGAAATGGAAAGCTGTTACAACAGCATGAAGGTTTTATTAGAATTAATTATACATGACAGACATAATCTATAGAATCTATATCTACCTCTTATCCAGTAGGCTTTCTTTAAGCTACACAGGATAGATGTACAGTCTAGAGCTGTAGTCAACATGCACATTATGACAAACCCATATTATTTAACCTATGTGGTCTATACAGACCATAAAGCCCAATGACAAAAAACGACAAAACACCATTTGTATTCTAAGCTTAGACCACATATTGAGGGACTGCATGAGCTGCATTGGAATGAGACGTCTGCCGAACCAATTACATGGTCTGAACATGATTTAGACATGAAGGACACAATGTGATGGTTGGGTCTGGGGACAAAAGAGGGGATATAAGAGCTCAGAATGAAAACAGGGAAACAGATATCTGGAATAAGGCAGATATGGTGTCTGTGACATATTTTATTGGTAGGGCTTGATAAGCTTTCTAGCCTGTGATAGTGGTGTTGGCTTTGTAAAGTTTTATTTTCACTTCCTTGTTGCGATCCTTTGTTTAAAGCTATACTTCCCATTTTAACCTCATGTACAGCATATGAGAGCAAAGAGTACCAAGTATTCGTTCTTCACTACTGAAATTAGTGTACAGTGACGTGTAAGGACAAAAAAACACTTACATTAAAAACTAGATTTTTCTATATGAAATACATTTTTACACAGCATATTTAAAAGAAATGCACTTGGTTTTTCTTGTGTGGGTAAAACAATGGTGAAATGACTTGGCTGAAACAGCAAATTCACTTTCATTCTTCGTGGACATGCACACGTTAGACGGGAAGCGAAAGCAAGCGTTGAAATGATCCACTGCTACAGCAAAGATTCGTGCAACAGCAGAGTTTTCCTGGAAGTCAGTTGTTGGAGATTTGGCTACATTTAGTTTAACCTGTGTCTCCAGTATGAAGATGAGTTGTCATAACATAAATGTTGTGTCTTTAATAAACTCAAGGATAAAACTGGGTCAAAACCATGCATTATCATTCAAATTATCATTATCATTCAAATACATTACAATTCTCAAGTTTTGTGGAGGGGTGGGACCTGAAGAAATACCCGAACCTGGATCATAATAAACTGGCAGATGGAGGAATTTTTTCTTTACTTTCTTTAAAAAAAGCGTTTTTCAACTTTTTCGTTAATATCTCAAGAAATAAAGTGGAACATCGATATATCCCGGCTGAGATATGCGATCTCAGAGCACCTTCTAACATGTGAACATTATGATCTGACTTCAGGATAAAATCTATAAAATATTTATTCCTTCCCAAATCTCTACGAAGTGAAAACTCCTCTGACAAGAGAAGAGGGGAGGAACTACAGTAGTGTGGTCCTATGTCACCTGAAGTGGTCTGATTTATAAAGAAGCGTTGCCAAGGCGATTGACCCCTACCAAACACTTCTTAAAATGTGTCACTCGCACTGGGAGCAAACCACAAGGTCATCCTGACATCTCAAATCTGTGACTACAAGGGAAACTCCTGAAGTGACAGTTAGGGAAAGTAAGGTCAAATACAAGTGAGGATTTTTTTCTGTGGGTATATGTAAACGTGCGTTTGAATGCAGGGAAACACAAATACACAGAGTGTGATGGAGTGCTGGAGAACTTTGAGGACACAGGAAGTGCAGAAAAGGACAGGAAACGATTATGGATGACTGTTCCGAATGAGATAGACAGCGCTCTAAAAATATACAAGCATGCTGTGGCCACTTTGCAGCATCTCTCTCGCTTTTTTCTCAAATTATTCATCACCCTTCACCACAGTTGTCACTTCAGTTAGGGGAATTTGAAAAGGCGCAGATGTAATTTACCTTGTTGTGCTCATATTTGTAGGGGATCTTGAGCGTCTCCATGGCTCGAATCATGGCCTGCATGGATGTGAAGATGTTCTGATACACAAGTTTGGTAAAACCCCTTTTGTCCTCATCGGAGTAACCTGTGCCGTGGATAATCCTCATCTGTTTGATGAATGTGCTCTTTCCACTCTCCCCAGTGCCTGAGGAAGGAAGTAGACAGGGAAAAGGAACATAGTTTAGTTTGTAGGTTTGTGAGACAGACATTTAATCTCCTGTGTCAGCGAGCCACACTCCTTAAAAGGACATTTGTCATTTATGACTCTTGTTGACCTTTATGGACCAATAAGGGCACTGCAGCAACACAACAAAAGACAAATAAGAGTTGGGAAGCGAGACGACAGCCATAAAAATCTTCAAACATGCTCATATTCCATCTGATAAGAGTCCAATCCAGATCTGACACAGAAACAGAGCATGCTCATTATTATTTGTCAGTGATGCCTCGTCTTCCCTCTGTGTAACCAGTCCGATTGAATTGCATTTTAGATTTATTAGCGATCGACTGGGCATTAGAGTGAATGTGCCAGTGGAACATTTCCAACACTCCCCATAAGAATCTGATGGTTATAATGAGGACATGAAATGCATTAATGTATCAGCAAACATTTGGCTATTCACACAGCAGACAGAGAGCAACAACAGCATTTGTTATGCCTCTGCCCTGATGACAATCGTGACTGGATGCATTATGTTTTCAGGTTGTCCATCCCTCCCATTCTAATGCCCGGAGGGGATTTCTTCACTTTTGGTATTAACATTTACTAGATTCGATTTTAGTGGTTGAAAGATCAAAGGTTAAGGTCACTATGACCTCACAACACACAGGGGAGACAATGGGGTCCAGAAGCTTGCCTTTCACACATGAACTCTCTGCTCAGACACATTCACAACACGTTAGGTATTAAATTCCACTGTGGAGATCAAGTGCTTTTGTCTACAGCACATCATCACCGGCGTCGGCCCGTCTGATCTCTCGCTGTTTTCTCACATGGGCTCATTCGGACATTATCCAGAGTTTCTACGAGGGGGCTGGCAGGAGAACTTCTCGCTTGGACATTTGCATTCTCACATACTCTGGGGAGTGTCAGCAGATTATCAGTACAAAGCAGCTATACATTATATGCAACACAGACATGCAGTACACAATCAGTCAGTCAGTCACAAGCATGATAATAATTCCTTCCTCTCCTGTTTGCTTGAGCTGGTGGCCGACCAAGAACAACATCTCTCTGCTCTCAGTGGTGACAGGAATGATTTGGGTGTTAAGAGCTGGGGCTGTACTCTCTCCTTGGTTAATTGAGAATCTTGGCAGAACGGTCTAACTTTACCTCACCACTAAGTCTTGAAAAACTCTAGCAGAAAGGATTGTATATGTGTGTGTGTGTTTCACATGTCAGAGACCAGGAGCTGCATTCCAGTGCAAGGGTCTTGTTATAGGAGCCATAAGAGCACTGTATAAAATAAACTCTATTTTAGCCCAAGGAGCCTCTCGACTGTGGGTTCAGAACACAGACCGGGCACTCTGAGAAACCAAGCTGCAGACTAAACTGGTGCTGAAACACTATCACCTCTGGGGAAAACAGATTTCTTATTGTGGGGCTGCCAGTTAAGAAACCTGAAATGAGCAGGGAGGGCAGCAATGACAAAACTGGAGTTATCCCAATTACCCTTGAAGTGCTCTTTAGCCAAACACTTAATCCTTGAACTTTAACTTGGAAATGTATTTTTGTTAGCAGAGCAAGAAGCAATGAGGTAATGCTGTACACAGAAGCATCAGAATACATGTAGTCTTTACCACCACCATCAATACTGTTTCCATTGCTGTTTGTTTGTTTGTCTTATACAAAAACTACTAAACGCATTCGATTGAAACTTGGTTGAGGTTGGCCTACAGGCAAGTAAAGAAAGGTGCGGATACAAATTAGGGGGCGGATCCAGGATTTATTTTCTACATTTTAACATTGTGAGACCAATGTCCAAAAATAATTTACTATTGCATTAACCTCAATAACAAAGTAGTATTGCTGCAAAATGCTTCGAGTCAGACATCCTAAAAATACACGCATTCTATTTTTTGAACAGGCAAACTGGAACAGTGAGTAATATCAAAAAACTTAGATGAAATGTGCCTGTGGGTTTTGAATATAGGCTGATCTTGTGTGGCACAGTTATTTCTCCTCATAGCTGTTCAAACACAGAAAACTGGAGTGAACCTGATGGTAAAAAGGGGGAATGTGGAGGTAAAATTTCACATGAAACTCAGACAGAGAAACCTTTAATTTAAAGTTTATTTTGAGATAAACTATGGCTGAGATGCTGCAGTTTAATTTTATGTCACAAAACTGGAATGCAGTGATTTTCAAGTCTACTTTTAAAGGTTGCATGGGTGGAGTAAAGGTTTTCCTCTGGGGATCCACCCATTCATGAAAATATTCACATTCACTCACATGACAATTTGAAAGCTACTGCCTTACAAGATAACAGTATGTTCTGCAGGTTAACTTAGGTTATAGAAAAACAAAGGGTTTATACAGCATTGTACCAACCAACAGCTGCATGTATAAAAAGAGAAATTGGTCCAAAAAGGGCCATTAGAGGCTGCTGAGTCACTTTTCTAACCCAGGCCATGAACCTAGATTAACCTGAGTTTGAAGTTACTAGATCAACATTAAATCTGATTTGGGGTATGTCTGGTCTGGCTTCCTCTCTGGAAGCCTCAGGATTCCAAGTCCGACTAAAGAGGGTGGAGAAAAAAGGAAAAAGGCTGCTCCCCCTGTGTCGTGCTTTCAATTCCTGATACCATAGACTGTATATAAAGATACATGTGAACATTTGAACCCTAACCCTAACCCTAACCCTACTGTCACATATGACAGTGGTCAAACAGACAATACATAATATGTCAATCACAAGGATTTGGTAGCTTTAACCATGAACAAGTTGCTCAGTGGCCTCCCGACAAGTCCTGGAAGTTGTGCATTTCCACAGCCCCTGAAAGCACCACTGCATTAGTGTCAGCTCTGCACAGACACGCCTGCAGCCGGCTGTTTAAAACAAATGGGATAAAAGGAAGCAAAAACGCAGATGTGATGTTTGAACATCATTATAAAAAATGCATGATTGAAGAAGGGACAATGAATTCACTGCTCCACAGTGAGTTAACACAGAGCAGAGGTAGGGCCGTACTCAACCATGTTCACTTTTTTTACAAAGGCTTCAGGGTGAACTGCAATATGTTTCTCTAATTACACTCTGGGGTTCCTGTGCAGGGGTAATGTTAGTTCATTTACAACCATCTTCTACGAGAATTTATCAAGGGTTTGAATCTGCCTTGTTCTGATTTTAAAGGGAGAACTATGGGATCACCTCGAGCTCTCCTACTTAAGATCTGCACTTCTTCGGTTTAGCCTAAAGGTTTTTTATATTACTCACTTCACTTTTTATAGTACTTTTATGTTACGTATTTGACTGAGTGTCATTGAGTTCTATCTGGGTAAAACTGATATAGTTTCAAATGAGCAATGGGATGAGTAAATACATTTGCATTGCTTCCCAACCTGGCATCTCTAGGATTAACTCATGTTGAACATACTCAAGTGAATGATAAGGAACCCTGTAGAATGAAACCAAACATGATCTTTACTAAGCAGCTGAAACTGTTGAATGAACACTGTGGAGCTGATTCTGTTTCTCACTTTCATCAAGAAAAGTCAGTCCTGTAGGTGTCAAATCTTTTCAGTGTTAATGACAGGCAGCCTTAAGCAGGAACCAGCACGTCTCAATGCAAAGCAGAGGGCTGAGTCATGAATTGAGTAAAAAAAATACTGCTGTGGTTTCTCATACTGCATTCATTGTGATATTTAAATGCTAGTGTGAGTTGTTCCCCTCCCTGATATGCATATTATCTGCACGTATCGGTACATTATTGGTACAATTATTCTTTTTTGTATAGTACATCCACTTCGTTAAATGCCTTTAGTCCTGGAATCCCCTTATTTTTATTTCAATTTGTGTAGTGGTTGTGTCTTGTTAATTGTATGTTTGGCATCGAGGAGGAGGATTGTGCCACAATTTCGTTGCGCTAGTGTATGAAGTACGACCATGCAATGACAATAAAGTCTTTTGAATTTGAAATTGAATTGAATTGAGGAGTTTTGGTCATGAATTATCTGTATTAAAATGAAATATAGCATGCTGTTATGACATTAAATCACTTGTGCAAAAGTGATAAACTAATAAAACATTTCATATATATAGGTCAGGACTTCCTGTTGCTGCAGTGTTAACTCGGCTGTATTCATACAAGAATCATATGACAACTTTAGTGTTTCCTCTCACAATAACACCCGTGTGTTTGGTGAGGGCTTGTTAAACGTTGCGGTGGACTTTGTCCAGTCGTAGCCTTGACAAAGTTCTCACAGCTTTTCATTCGACCGATAAAAGTAGCTGACAGTGACGGCAAAGATCAAAACTTTCACAAATCTTTTTGACAGAGGATTTGTAGAGAATGATAGTGTTAAAAGTGCAAAATAAATGTGTTGCAATGCAGAAATCCTTTCACAAGTTGTTCACAAACTTTTCTGACAGTCTGATTGTCAGATTTGTGCGTGTGTGTAAAAGGGGATAGGCATCATAAACTAGGTCCAATGGTCTCTTGGGGACTGGAGCCAGGCTGTGCCACATTTGTAATTGGACAACTTTAAATGAATTTTGCAGATGAAGACAAACTTGATAATTATTAATCTTTTAACCCTTTTGGCTGTCGACAGATTCTTCAATCCTCAATGATAAATAAATAGAAGATTTAGAAAATGCAGAATGAAATATGCATTGGGTATACCTAAATTCTACTATATCCAACACATGGCACTTATTATTGATTGTTCACATTTGTATAAATCTGCTTACTATTTACAAATTAGAGAATAAAATAAAATAAACTTAATTACCAGACCTCCATTTATTCTTTTGACCAACAAACAATCTAAACCGAGATATATTCAGTTTACTATCATATATGACAAAGAGGCATCTAATCCTCACAGTTCAGAAGCTGGACTCAAGTGTAAAGACAAAACATTTTTTCTTTCTCTGTGTCTCTATTGCTCTGCCACAACAGGTTTGGCCTCAGTGAGCATAACGTCTGAGGCTAACGTGAAATTGGAAATTTGTAGCTACAAGCATTCTGTTCATGATCCACATGTTAAATGAGGGGGATCATGGGAATTTTGAAAATGTTTGAGTGAGAACATCCTTTAACAATGCCAGCTTTTAAAGAACATGTTTCCATACTCACAGCTGCATTACGATAAAAAAAGATTTTATCCAGTTAGAAGTGATGTACATCGACCCTGTTACACTATGAGTTCACCAAAACCTGTTCCAGTTACTTCTGTAGTGTCAGCAAGAATATTTAAACATTAACAATTCATAAACACAATTAAAATATGTACCATGACCGATAGTTAACTATCTACAAATGTCCCTGATTTTCACACAAAAACACTAAGAATATGGAAGCTCGATAGGTAGAAAAGTTGGAGAAAGGTCAGCAGTAAAATATACCCAATTTGTAGCTAATCTGCAAAAATAAATGATAGTAAAAGAAAAAAGAAACTTGTCAGGACATCTTTAGTATCCTAATCATCCAATACAATCTGATTCTGTTTCTCATTCACTTTCTTCAAGAACCGAGGTTCAATATTTCTTTCCAGCCACTATGTTCCGTGCTATGTTTTGTCTTTCCCCTCCTCTGCATTCATCTCAAACTTCCCATGACCGTACAAGTTTGGAATCTCAGCTAATGTTATGGTGCCACAGTCTAGGCCATCCGTTCCCTTGTCACTTAACATGTCTCCAGACCTAATGTCATGCTTCAAGACCAGATGTTGAATTTGCTCAAAAATAAAGGAAGGAGAGCAGTCTGAGTCTGGTGGTATCCATCGTTTTTTTAACCGAGATGTGACCTGTAATTCCCCTGAAACAAAAGTCTCATCAATCAACTAAAACACGGTTTTAAGTTACATGTCCCTGTATTAAATATACACAAGTCATAATGAGGTTGATGGTGTAGGTTTTAGTTCAGATCTTGATTGCTTTGAATCTGGTGGCATCAAGATTCTATTCCCTCTTGTTTTATTTTTCCTTAATGACATTCAGACTTGTCAAAGAAAGAAAAGCAATAGTGGATCTAATAATGTTATTGATGGTTTTCGATCATTTGCAACACTACAACAATACTTTAGCTCAAATGTTGGCTGCAACATCTTGGGAACCATGAGTTATGTTATGATCTGAAAAGGATTTGGTGCAATAGAGAGAAAAAGAGAGGAAACAGTTGAATTTTGTATGCCCGCACCCAAACCAGCCATGCATTAAGTTCTTATCTTGTCTTACTTTGTCAAGCTTGTGTTTGTAAGTTGTAAATGATGATGATGAAACAGCTTTTCTTACCAACTTGACAATGAAGTAGGAGCTGTTCTCATGGATTATGACACTGATTTAATTTTCAATTTTTCAATCTCTTCATGTTGCTGGAGGAGATCAGTTTCAGCAAGATGGCTCTGCCTCACTGTTTTCCGACATTGATTGTAACTGAGTCACTTCTTTGTATTTGGCAACTATCTTTGTGTGGTTGTTGTGTCTCTGACTTATTTGCCAACATTAAACTGAATGTGAACCTGAAAGGATCCGATATAACACTGTCTCCCCCTCCAGCAAAGTATTGTTGATCATCTGTCCACGTTAAATGAGTGATAATGTCCCTTACTACTTTACAACTCCGTAACGGATATCGAATGCTTAGGGTGGACGAATGATATAATTGCAATGTTCTCTTAACTTGTTTTTATGTTGCAACATATGCAGTCTCTGTGGGATAAAGGAGTTAGTGGGTTTGGACAATTATGAATAATTTGAAGCCCAGATGGTTTGTGGAAAATCCTGCCATTGACATTTTGGAGGAGTGAAAAACTTTTTCCCCTCGTGTCCTGTGGGACACGATCCACTGATAGCATATGAGATAATGGAGCCATACAGAGCACACACAACTTCCTCCGGTTAACTCCACCACTAGTGGGAGTGGTGCTGTTGGTATGTAACAGGCTCACTAAAGAGAAAAACACAATTTCCCTGTGAATTTAGAGCCCTGAGTTTATAACGATATATTCATCTCAATGACAAAATGGTTCATTTAGACATAACTGTGATAGAAGCTAAGACGTGTGCATGTTAGCGAACGTATGCATCTCTTCTGTCCACAAGGGTCAGTAAGGTTATTATCAAAAATCCTATACATTCTCCAGCCAACCTCTCTATGCCATTAAACCCACCACACTGTAGACAACCATCTACTCCTCTGTCAAAAACCTTTAGTCATGAACACTGTGTAGCATTTAACACTACGGAAAAAAAGAGTGAAAGAATGTGGTAAACCATTACAGGAAACTCTTCACTCTACAACTTAATGGACCTCACTGTAGCTTCACTACAACTCCATACTCAAAGACATTAACTGTACACATTCTGTCATTAGAGGCGTACTACCAAACCACTCTGAAATGGAATAGCTTGTACTGATGGGGCAAACTGACTGCCAGCTGCTGCAGAACAAAAATAAATGTTGAGTGTAAATGATAATCCTTTATCCATATTTGGTTCTGGTTGGTGGATTCTGTATCACACAAGAGTGGTGACGAATAAGTGAATACAAACAACATAATGTCTCACGAGGAATCAAATCTTACACAGGATCATTCACTTTTTGGGTCACTGGCTGTTTGTGTTAGCATAATGAGTGAACTGTTGGGTATTAGAAGAGATTAAGGGGCAACAGCGACATGATTATTGGTCCCTATTTAACAGGCGAGGTGGCTGTCAGCTCCTTCAAATCCTGTTAAGGGGGATTCATTTCAACATTTAGCGCTAACAGGAGGGCAGAGGGGGAAGTTTACTCATTAGACCCCCTCTTAAACCTCCCTAAGAAGGCAAAAGTGGGATCTAAATATGTTATAGGTTTCCAGCCTCCTTCTCTTGTATGCATTTTAAGGAGTGGAGCACTGGATCAGGAGGAACCGTTTCTGGCACCACTCTCCTCCACCACGGTCATCACATCTAATGGGCTTTTCGCAGGAAATCAAATTAAAAATGGGATGGTGAGTTGTTTTCCTCATATTTCTCCAGTGTAACTAATTCTTCTCAACAACTCCCCTCCCCCTCAGACCCCAACCTCTAATTTCCCAACTCCACAGTGTGCTAAATTCACAGGTAGCGACATTATCATTATATTTTTTAAAACATCATGGGAATGGAATGAAACAACTAGGCCTCGAGGCAGTGGTGGATAATCTATTTCATCTTGTTGAGTTGTTTCTGTCTTGGAGTTAGTTTGAGAATGATTAACATGAATGCAAAGAGCATAGAACAAAATCAATAATTAATGCTAAATTATTTTCATCTATTCATCTATTGCGATGTAACAAAGGTTTGATGAGTATCTATATATTGCTTATGCATTGTTTAAGCACAGTGGGGATCATTGATCGTCTTCAGAATTGTAAAACGTTGTTCAGTGTTTGTCTTTCTCTGCTCATAAAGAAGAGATGAACTCAGACACACAGGGGCTAAAATTAGTCTTCAAAGTTAAAAGAAATGTAGTGAAACATTTGTCAGGATAATTATCAATGTCGACTTTGTATCTTGATATAATTTTTGGTTGTATCAGTCCTACTCTATAGAGCAGCAGTCCTCAAACGGGGGTCTGCAATCCTCTGAGACTCCATGAAAAGATTCCAGATTCATCCATTCAAATGACCTTATGATTGGCATCTGGAACAAACTATATTAACCAGTACACATGATCATTCTAAACACCACTCAACATAGGTTTTAAATGCATCAATTACCTTTCATCATTATTTACTTTCTCTCTTGTTGGGGGTTCTTGTCTAGAAGATAAATTGAGAGTAAATATAGAGTAACAGACTCACTGCCGGGGTCAACCTGCAGCAGGGTTACTAGACTTTAACCCAGTCAATACTTGACACACTCCTGCACAACATCTGGATGGGCCCCGTAGAAAATGTGTCAGGTGGCGGCATGGAGGGGTGACAGAAGTAAAGAGAGGAGGCCCAGAGACGGATGAGCATTTGTTTTCCTCAACACTGTTATTCAAATCAAGTGGTTTAAACACACACACACACACACACACACACACACACACACACACACACACAGACCTGACAATCTGTGCAGAAACATTTCAAAACACCAGCCCTCCACTCCCAAACTTCACACAGGTGGGAAACCCCATTTGTAAACCCCCACCCCTACCCGTCAAAGGCATTCTTTTTCTGGGAGGAATTTGGGCTTTGCAGCGCTCCTCTCTCCCCTCCCCGTGTTCCTCCGTGCGGAGCTTACCGAGGAGCAACAGTTTCAGTTCCCGGCGCGCGTCCCTCTTGTCCCGGCGGAGCTGCCTCTCGATCTCGTCGTTGATCCGACGGGCTTCCTTCGCCTCCTCGCTGAGGCAACACGCCATTATGGACTCCAGGGTCATCTTCTCCTTCTTTCTGCTTTTTAAAAACACGCACTTTTCGCTTGTTTGATCACTGATTCATCCAGATCTCAGCCCACTCTGGTTTTCTAAACACACATCCAGGAGGCCTGTGGATGCCGGATAACGTCCACATATACAGGCCTGCGTCTGGTGGAACAACGCGTGGACGCCCCTCGTAAAGGAGCCTGGACGCAGCACAGATTGTGGGCTAAAAAATAAAATGTAAAGCTGTTTTATCAATTATTATGATCGAAGCTCCCTCCACCAGTTTCGCTTCGCTTTCCGGGGCCTCCTCTTCCCGACAAGCGGCGCAGTCCGGGTCGGTGTGAGCCAAATATCTGTCGGATCTTAATTGGTGATAATCTGCTTTAACCTCTCAATATGATCAACAGATCCTCTAAAGACGCATCCTCCGTGTGATCTCGTTAGGGGCACTGCCATCCGATCAGCCGAGCACCACCACCACCAGCCCTGCTCTTTAAAAACAAAGTCCCTCGATGTTGTTCAATGTCTCTTCAAGGGGCGAAAATCCCCCGCGTTGTGTCCGAGTTAGCGTCGCGGATGAGCGGGGACGCGTGAAGAAAGCAGTCCGCTCATATTCCCAGCGGCTCGACTCCCGGGCGTGGTGAGGCAGAATATGGCGGACTTTCACTCCAATCCGCTATAGGCTGTTATACTGTTATCTCTGCTCCAGAAGAAAGCCACGCGTAACACTCAGCCTTCCAGCCGGAGCCCGCTGTCGACACGGCGGCGGAAAATATCCCACATCGCCCCAAATGTTGAACAAACAACGAGAGGCGTTGACGTCCGTGGCTCAGGAGGAGGAAAGAGATCCAGACCCCGTGTTGCTGCTGCTTTCTCTCTCTCTCCGGACAATCTTCTGCTTTTCCTCAATTCTCTTCGTGTGTTTTTATTACACTGGCCATCCACTCCTCCGGGGCTGACGTCGGACTCCCATCGACCAGGGGGAGGTGGGTGGGTGTGGGGGAGTGTCACGTCAAAGCAAACGCCTCAAAGTATTTCAGCCCCAACCTGTGGAATAGAAAATGTGTGTGAATAGACTGAACTCGTATCTCTGTGATCAGTGGCTGGGATGTGATTTAAAAACGACACTGCACTTAGTTTCTCTTTTTCTCTATGTGAACACAAGTCCAGATCTGTGTTCTCAGAGAGTCAGAATAGAGTGTGAGTTCAAACTTATTTTGAGGTTTTAATCAGGGCTGGACAATAAAATATGAGCAATAATTATCATTGTATGAATTTCATCAATAGCGATATAACAAACGTCTAATACATATTAATACCAAAAATAGTTTTGGCCCAGATCTGGCCCACATGCCACTCATCGCAAACAGGATGTGATGATAGCACCTGGGCAGCCCGCTCCTGTTTGCCAGATCCCAAATTTGTTTTGAGCCATTTGGTTCCATATTTATCATTTATCACATGGGCCACTTTAAGTTCACATCCAGATTAAACTTTTCCAAGAGCACAGTGTTAAAAAAGGTCATTGTTGTCTTGGGGTATTCTGGCCACAATTGCTATTTTGCAAGTGGGTAACTTTAGGCTCACTTCAATTTTGTGTGGGCCACAAAAAGGCCATAAGTGCTGCATCATTGCCTGAAGTGGCCCACATCCGTACGCTATCTGTGGTCAAATTGTAATTGTTGCATGCTTATCATTTGTGCCATTTGCCTTCAACAAACTGGAGAGTTATACAGCAGTTGTTGTTCACATTAATCTTCCAATAGGCCCACACACTTGCGGATTGATGAAATGATAAGTGGATGGATGTTAGAGGCTGAATCACGTGTCCACAGCTGATCCATTATGATCATCCCCACTGTTCATGCCTGTGCCATTAGTATTATGAGTGATTTTGCTTTGTGCTGTCTTGTCCACAACCAAACAACTGTCTTTACTTACACACTCAGTTGTTTTAGGACGTTATTGTTATAGTCATCAACTGCACTTGTTGATGAAAAATGTACCATAGTATTCAATGAAACTAATAGATTTTACAAATCCACCACTTATCAAATGTTTTTGAAGTTGCTAAACTCACAATGTTCCTGTAGCAGTGGAAGTAAATGAAGCCTGAAAGTTGACGCAAACAATTTTCTATGGATGTCCCAACCTTTATTGATGATTCACAAATCCTCTGTCTGTACAAAGGCAGTGTCTCTAAACCCCATTAAGGTGGTTTCTATGGACAGAGGGTGAAAGCAAAGCAACCTGCAAATAAAACACATTTGTGGGAAATGTTTGGTAGAAGGTTTGATTTGACACAAGTGTGTTCAGCCACTGGATGTTGAGGTCAAGGTCATCTCACATAGCTATTGAGCAGTGTTGATTGAAACCTAACTAAGTGGCCCACTTAGACCGTTTAAATGGGGACATGTCAGTGACTCAGTGCTTAATTGTAAGTTATGTGTTTGTTTACATTCAGCCAAGTCTGGTCTGATCTCTTCTGAGCCACCAAACAGGCAAAAAAACAAATAAATCAGAGCTATAATGAAGTGCATGAAAATTTGTCATGGAAAAAAAACCTGTTAATTGTTCCGACAGAATTAATGTTAGCTGTCCAGGGACCTGCCTGACTTGTCCTAGTTTTATAGCTTGGGGAGCCATTCAACCTGTGCCTGTAATGAAGGGCAAACCACCAGTTGTCTGTGGAGACACACAGCCACAAGTTGGTAACATGTTAACCTGTCAGTTGATGGTGTATAATCTTGTTCATGGATCTTGATGAAAAAGAAATAGGCATATTTAGGGGACTGATAAGTGTGTGCAATTTGGTACATGTGGTTTCACAAGTCTTCATATGAGTCCCATGTGTTTCTGTGTGTTTAATCCTTATCTCTACAGTCAATGGTTTGATCACTAATACAGTTCTATAGAGACAAAGTTGCAGAGAGGTTTAATAGAGCAGCTTAATTTTGCAATGGGTGTAGATGCCAGTGTAGGTGCAGGTATAGTTTATGTATATGTAGATTTGATTATGGAACTTTATATATGAAGAATGCACCACACCTAAATAGTAAATCAGACTTTTATTTTTTAAGAGAAGACACTTTCAACTACTTCCTTCCCTGGGTCACGTGACACGGTCCTCGCCTGGATACGGGAAAGCGTCGCTCTCTGGTCGCTACGGAGAGAGAGAGAGGGGGGGAGGAAGAGAGAGAGGGGGGGAGACCGAGCAAGAGATAGATAGAGAGAGAGAGAGAGAGCAAGTGATAGAGCGACAGGCAGAGAAGAATGGTTGTGTTGTAGTGGAGTGCGAGACTTTCTCGTGCACTTTCCCCCGCACAGGGTAACTTAGTGGCATGGCCGTCTGCGGGAGCCGCTTCTCGGTCGTTGGGGCGACGACTCGACCAAGTTTTGTCGCGTGTCCTCCCTCGGTCGGTCGCTGCTAACGCACCGGCATGACGGACACAGATTAGTTAGCATGCTAGCGAGTTAGCCAGCCGTCCTCAGCATCACGCACAGGGACCACGCCTGCCGGTGCGAGGTAAGAAACCACTCTCCCCCACAGTGGAGTGTGTAAACTGGGAGTCGTCGACCTGTATCCACCGTCAGTGACTCCGGTGAAAACCTGGTGAAAACCCGTGTTTGTTACACAATGTCCGCCGCTGCCGTCCATGGCAGGTGTCTGACTAATTCCCTGTGACGGTAATGATGCCGCTCTAATAGGATTGAAGTCCTCTGCTTCCTGTGGTTTGTTTGAGAAGTTCCACCGGGCTGTCTGATGGGGGAGGAGCTCCGCTGCGCGTGTGCGTGATAAAGCGGTGTTTGCGTGGGAACGCGTGGTTTAATCTCACCTCGTCCTGGCCTGTCTTTAGATGTTTTGTAGTAAGACACCGCAGATTCAGTTGCGTGTCCGATGTGTGTAGAGGAGCTTGAACTGTAAGACTGTCACCATTACTGCCTGTGCTCATCTTTATTCTTTACTTTTTATATCTCTAGTCACTTTTTTTAATACACTTACATCTGCTGTGATTTTGCAGGCTATGTTAGTCTAATGCACATTTGCACAACTCTGTAGAGCTTCCGTTATTTATTTTTAAATCTTGTGTCTTTCAATCACGTTATACTTAAAATATCTGTATTGTCACTATCTCCATTAGCACATACTTCTTTACAGTGACAGCTTTGTAGTAGTTCTGGTGATGAGACTTTCAACTCACTGCAGTGAACTTATTATTATTATCTGTCTATCTCTCTCTCTCTCTCTCAAAATGTAAAGAACAGGAAAGGTAATAATCCGAATACATTGATTATTGATTATTTTCAGTTATCATCATACACACAATATGTAAAAACAATATAAACAGTGTAAACAAAGTGTAAATGGTCTTCACATTATATATTGCCTGAAAAGGCTCTGGCAGAAACCAAATGCTTATATATGCCTGCCTATATTTTTAATCAAATGAACTTACCCTGCCATAATTAGTCTCCCTCCAGAAACATACAAAGACATTTTTTTTCATTTATACTGGCATTGTTTCACAATTTCATCCCAACAATAGAGACACATCTCAATTGAATCCCTTTGTGCCTTTCTGTACAGTAAACTTATAAAAATACCTCACAGATCATATTTACTCTCACTTTGGGAATTTGGAAACAATACATTTGTATGATTATAGTATCCAGCCTCATTAATAACAGGTGTGGCTCTTTTTTGTTGTTAGACTATTTATAGCAGTTTACAAGGTCAACCCCATAGCGCCAAACTGTTATGTAAGGAAGTATAAGTGACCAGTATATTATATGCAAGGCCTTAGAATTTGGTATATCCCTAGATTTATACAGGATTGCCTTTAACTGTTCCTTTGAGACAGTGCAACAGTTTGATACCATGTCTTTCCTTGTGCCTGTGTGTAAGTGTGGCTGTAGGTTCCTAGGCAGTCATGGGGAAACTACAGAGCAAGTTTCGCAAGCGGTCTGATCTCTACAGGTGACTCATGTTTATTACTATAAACACTTTCTGTGTCCTTGTTTGAACTACACACCGTTTATAACCAGATTTCAATACAAAGTCTGTTCACTGTTGAACAAATAAATAAAGTATCATTAAAGATGCTGCTATGTTCACTGCAATATTTGGTTGGCAAAATTATTTATTATTTAATCTTGAGCAGGACAGTGCAGTCTGGGGTGAAACATTATGTGGTGATAATACAGAGATACTGCTTTCTTTTAACAGCATTAATAATGAAGAGGAGACATTTTATCAGTCATCTTACATGTCAGTATAGGAACATATAAATGTTTCAGTTGTGTATTGTTGTTTTTTTTGTGCAGGGCATCTGAGGGGGAGAAGGCAGATAATAACTTTGACAGTCAGGTGGTGCAGTATGAACCTGCCCATCAAGGATCCATCAGCACTGTCACGAATCTCAGCCCAGATCTGTGTGTTTCTGGCGGTAGCGATCAGGTAAAGGGTAAACATATGAATTAGTAGCACATCATTTTTAAAACTATTTTAATTTTTAATCACAATGTTGATCAATAACTAGGCAATAATTGTATGCTGCGCTTTACAAAGTTTCAAGTGACTTTACAATGGTTTTAAAATACTCACAGTTCATTAAGATGCCTAATGCAAGAAAAGTACTGTTTTAGACGACATAAAAGTAGAAGTATGACAGGCCATTTTAGACAATAGTACCTATGAGTGTTGTGTTGTGAATTGCAGGTGGACAATTTAATCCTAACATGTTCTAATTAGTGTGCTTTTGTTTGAGTTCATGCATGTGTGTTTGTCTGTTCCTGTAGGCTGTGGTGGTGTATGACTGGAAACAAGGCCGGATGTGTCAGTCCTTCCAGGGTCACAACAGAGAGGTTACCAAGGTAACGTCAATACTTTTTGTGCTCAAACTGATGGTTATGATGCTGTACAGAGTGGTTACACCTCTCCTGTCCATGTACGTATCCTCTGTCAATCGGCCAGGTGGTGTGTTATCCAGGAAGTACATGGATCTTTAGTGCCTCACGGGACAAAACTGTTCTGATGTGGGACCTAAACCAGGGGGATGAACCTATTCAGGAATTCTGTGGGCATGAGTTGGTGGTCAACGGACTAGCTATCAGCCCTGGTACAAACACACACATACACACACACACACACACACACAAACCACAACACACACTTCTTTGTCCCACTACACATCTTACTATTAACACCAGTGCCTCTCAGTTTGTGCATTATAGCTGGTTTGAGAACAGACAACTCTCTGAGGACAATTCATGAATATAAAACACAAAAAGAAGAACACAGACATCAACGGCACATTCCCTCTTGCAGAGAACAGAATCATTTGCAGACTTGGTTAAATATTTCTCTTTGTATTGGCTGCCAGTCATTGTAGCACCAAATGTTAAAAAGTGCAAAAGCAAAACTCCAGGTGAAGTTTTTGATGAAAATTCCAAACATGCGGAAACTGAAAGATTTTCATGAACAGGCACCCTGGTTTTAGATTGACAGTAATTTGAGATGAAACAGTGATAAAAGGGGGGTTACTGTTTACTGTTAGCTCTATAGCTTTGAGCAAAGCATCATCTTGAATATATTAAGAAAATTGTGCCATGTGCACTTCATTAAAATTCTTAACAAATTGCCATATTTTTCTTAGCACTGTTTATAAGTTAGTTATAAGTGGAAAGGGGCATTTCAGCTAGGGGTAGTGCTCCCTGGCCCTGCCCCTGAAGCGATGATAAGTCTTTTATTGATCATCAACTTTATTTGGACTCTATCTTTATTCTTTCAGATGTTTTCTTTGTGAAGAAAGCAGGTACCTCTATTTGAAATGACATTGATTTCCTGAGAATAGTTTAAGAACCTTTGTTTGAGTTGTTGAATGCAGTTGATGCATTAATGAGATGCATGCTGACATTCATTTCAGATAACTGATCCAAACATATGGAACTGTTTGTGTTGTGGCTTGTAGATGGGAGAAAGCTATGCACCGGTTCTCGTGACAACTGGATGTGCCTGTGGGACATAGAATCTGCAAAATGTGAACAGAGACACAACATCTCTAGAAACCTGGTGAGAACAATAGTATGTGCGCACAAATCCTTGTACTTGTTTGTTTCAAACATTCTGGAGCGCCCATAGCTGTGTACGTGAGCATGTAAGAAAAAGAATCAAATCAATAAGCCAAGCAATCTGACTTCTACCTCCCTTGTTCAAGCCCTGTAGGGTTTAATATTTTCCACTTTCCTCTCCCTTCTGTCCAGGTGACTCATGTGTGTTGGGTGCCATCCAGCTCCTCTGTAGTCCAGACTTCTGAGGATAAGACCATAAGGTACATAAGAAATATTTGATACAACAGTTTGTAACAGTTTGGGTTCGTGTGTCTTGGTTGAGAGAGAAAAAGGCAAATGTCATTGATTGAATTTAAACACACTTCAACCTATACCATGCCACATCATACATGACGAAAACAGAAACCATACGTAACGTTACTCCTGAGTTGTGGTGCAATGAGGATCTCACCAAGGTGGGCTACTCAACTAATGCAAAGAACACAAAATGCACAGTCTGATGAGTTAGTAAATGTTAATATGAAAATGATTTAGATAATAATCCTGATATGTACAAATAAATCCACCTTGTATTTTAATTTTGTTTAATTGTCCTTGATACAGAAGCGACTCCTCTAGCACCCTGATTGCACAAGCGTAGCTGTTATACACACCATCTGTTGAGAAGCAGAAGACTCTATGGGATATGAATAGTTGCCAAAAGACAGGGTGTTATCGAGATGACGTCACTGAACCCAGTCGGCTGCCCACTGCACATGCTACGTTTTCTGTGTTATTCTTACAGTAATGACTTGACTGTGTATGTGTGCAGGGTGTGGGACAGCCGTGCCTGGCAGGTGACCAATACGTTTCCAGCCAAGCAGTACATCCAGACCCACTGTGACGTCTCTCCCAACGGGAACTATCTGGTGTCGAGCAGCAACGGCTTTGGAGGGCAGGGCTGTGAAGCCACGGTGAGGCCACAGGAAGTGTTGGTGTGCTTCTTGATGTACAGGTGTAGATCTACACATGGTGGGTGTAGTTGAGTCTGCCTGTAGGTTAAATAATGTCTGGGTTTAATTGATTCAGTACTACACAAATGCTAACAGGATCAATAAACATGTTTGTTTGGTGTAAAAGCCTGGAGCTACTCAATCAATATCAGTTCTTTGGACTTGGGCAGATGGTCTCCCATAAATTATGACTCCCATAACTTGTAGCTTGTATCCCATTAAATCAGTTTCCTGTCCAATCTGTATCTTGTGGTAGCTTCAAGAAACAAGAGAGCGACACATGGCAAAGTTTATCTGGTACAAGAGCACCTGTATAAATGTAAAACCCATCAAAAATCATTGTGTTTTACACACGTTGACAATTAGTCTTTCATTGTTTAGATTCACAACAAGAATTAGGTTGAACATTGAATGCCCCACTCCTGACTACTACATTATATTTCTCCTCATGTGGGAACCAAGAGATCACTAAAAGTTCTTTATAATCTTCAATTTTATTGTTATTTTATGGCAAGTATAATTTTTTTAATGTTTTTTCAGTTCTATGCATATTTAGTAATATGATGAGATCTGATTTCAGGTAACTCACCTGTCCATTAAAAGTTGACTGTGTGAATGTATCCACTGTTACGTAGATATTTTCAGAAACTTCTAACACGATGATTTATTCTCAGTGGAGTTGTGTCTGTGTTATTAGCTCTGGGACCTGCGGCAGCCTGGCTGTAAGGTTGTGGAGTACAGAGGCCACCTCCAAACCACAGCCTCATGTGTTTTTCTACCTACGCCTCCTGGTGGCACTGCTCAGGTTGCAACATCCTCCCATGACAGCTCCATCAAAATCTGGGATCAGAACACAGCAGGTAAGAGCCACTAATGGATGAGAACATGTACAAACAGAGATGAATGAAAACATACATATGAGCACAGATGCAGACACTGTTAGGTCATTTTTACACCGACTCTCCTCCCGCCCTCCTTCTGCCGTCTTCTGTTCAGTTTGTTTAGGGACGCTGTCTCTGGATGGTGCTGGTCCACTGGTTGCTCTGGCCCCAAATGACTCCACCAATCTGCTGTGTGCCAGCTTCAGCAACGGCCTCAACCATATCCAGGTGGGCCAGGGATCAAACCAGGCTCAGGGTTCTGCAGCAGGTTCAGGTGGAGCTGGTGGCCTCGACATTAAAGTCGTTGCACGTTTCTGAGAGTCCGAAAGAGACTGGTGTGACTCGTAACTCTCACCTGTGACCTTTCACTGACTCAGCAAGCAATAGACTGAATTTATTTTTTTAATATAATTTTACACACTGTATTTCTATAGACACGTTTGCTTTATTAGCCTGCCATACAGCGAAGAATGACAGAAGAGATCAGCAAGAACATGAGGGGATGAAAATGACATATAGAGTATGCACCTTTCGTTCAGCAGAGCCATGTGCATGTCCCTCACATGTTCTGTTAGGAGACTGAACTCCAGAGTTATCATGCTTGGACTGATGCCTTCATGGACCAGGTCAGATGAACCAGGATTTACTCAGCTTATACACTACTACAGCTAGGTGGCGCTGACAAATTGCTTCATTCACATGTATTTGGATCCATTGAGAGTTTTAGTTGCAAATTTGGAAGCACTGTTGCTGGAGTATCAGCTGTGTAGTCAGGACTTCTACTGAGCCAAATAGAATTGCATACTTATAGTATAGATTTAGTTTTTTCCAATATCAAATTTAATAGGTACTGTCAGATTTACAGTCTTGTCTGTCAAGTGGAAAGTTGTTTTTTATCACCGAAACAGAGTAAAGAGGAACACGTCGATGTTACTGATTAGTTTGTGCTCTAGTTGGAACCTGTCCAGTGTTAGGCCAAATGAGTACATATAACACAGGTCTGTATAAACATGCTTTATTTTTAGGTAGATTTCACTCAAACAATAGGACACAGATTCTAATATTTGTAAACTGGAGCTGCTGATAGTTGATGTGCTGATATCCAACATTACTATGCAAAATACCATAGTGATTCCCTTTTTGATAAAACACAGTTTGAATAAACTAATCCAAATTAAGTGTATACTATTAATTTGCAAGTAAAGCTGCTCAACGTGTCAATATAAAGCCTGCAACCAGCAGTTAATGAAGATATTGTTTGACAAGGTCTGCTGCACTATTAACAAAATGTATTGAATGTGAATTTTGAATCCAGACCTATATTGTTCAGTCAGAAAATGCTAATGCTAATATTAGCAGCTTTAAGTTAATGAATTTGGCCAGTTCTATATGAAAGTATAATTGTCAGGACAAGAGTGAAGCACTCATGTACTAGAAGTGTACCTTTAATACTGATTATGATTACGCTTCAACTTCTTAGCAATAATGTTTTTTGGTATGTACACAAAGAGGTGTCAGTTTCTCCAAAAGCTGTGGCTGTTATAGGATCCAACTTCACTGGAGGAACGAACAGATTCATACAGATGTTAATCTAAAGGAAACATCTGGTTGAGTTTCAATTGTCTTTTCTTTACATGCGGATGAGATATAGCAATAAAAACTTTCAGAAGATCAGAAGGAAATCTAAAGAGTTGCAATAAGAAAACTCAACTGTGATGTCAAATGGGGCTTAAGAGTCGACAGTGAATGATTTATTATTTTTCTATAATGTAAGGAACACTACTAGCCATAGGGAACTGAGGGTGATCACACATTTCACTTATAACTATCACAGATCATCACTAGTTGATTCAGTTGTGTCTGTCATACATTATACTAAGCAATAAATAAGACATTTATGATGTATGAGGGGAAAATGTAAGTTGTCTGTTCGTATCAGCACAGATCTTTAAATTGGCGACAGCCTTATAATTAATATGCCATTAATATACAGTACCTGTACATATTTGTCATTTAATATAAATGCTTTGTTCATCTGATTCAGTAAAAAAGCTACAGGTAAATTACAAGATTAAAACCACTGAGAGGGGAAGTCAGTGACATTGATTATCTCCTTGGCACCTGTCAAAGGTCAGGATGTGTTGGGCAGCGAGTGAACAGTCACTTCATTGAGGATGAGGTGTTCGAAGCAGGAAAAACAGGCAGACATAACGATCAGAACAACTTTAATTAGGGTCAGATTGTGATGGCTAGACGAGCGGGTCAGATCTTCTCCAGAACGGCAGGATTATTGGGTGTGTTTACAGTGGTCAGTATCTACCCCATAGGATAACCAGTGAATCTGTGGCACGGTCATGGGCACTCACTTCCCCAGCAATGTAGTCCTCTCCCACAGAAGAGCACTGATTAGTTAAAAATGTGGGGGATTTCTCGTCAAGTATTACATAACCAGCATCAGCTTCAACACAAAAGATCGAGTCTTACAAATACAATCTGTCCTCTCTTACATTAGTTTCGGTGTAACCCCTCTCACTGTGGTCTACTTATAATTGACTGATGCCACATTTAAATCATTTTCTACACCCATTTTACAAAAGGGTTCATATTGTTAGGATATGAAAAAAAAACTGACTCCATGTGGGGAAATCACATCTGCATGTAATTATTAATGAATCAGAAGACTCCCTCATACTGTGGTGTTTAATTTATTTAAATCTGGACCTCATTCTCCCTCTGCCACAAAAACAAACCACATATCCATCAACAGGTTTTCATTAAGACTCACACACAAAGTAGACATCAGCAGGCAGAACAGTTCGGCGGTCGCCACATCACTGAAGTACAGAAATAAACAAAATTTAAATGACATAATTGCCTTAAATTAATGCAATATATACAATATTGGCACAGCATGATATAAAAAGCTAAGTGGAATAAGTAGGATACAGTACATTAAATTAACATAAGTCATTCAGAAGACCTTTTAAAGAATAAATACTGTATATGAACATTAGCATTCAGTCCAGAGCTGAGAGATACTAATAGAAACATGTACCGGCATTTTTCAGCATCTGAGTGGTAACAGTAGGTTGTAATACATGAGCTAGTGGTGACTTAAAGCATTCAGTGTTTCTTCCGTGATGTTTGAACGGAGGGTCAAAGCCTCAATCTTGAGTTTTTACGAGCTGGTTTTTGTCTATGAAACCATTTTTTTGTCGTGCTAGAAATAATTAAAACTGTGTGAGAGAACTTCTGGGTCTGTTCTTCTTTTCTCTTTAACAGTTTTGATTATTACATCTCCAAATACTGAATCTTTTGAGATTCTGTACAAACGGAGGTTCAGTATTATATGACTGAAATCCCTGACCCCCCCTTTTCTTTTTTCACCTGACTACTTCAGTGCCATGACTTTGAAATGGGTACAAACAGCCTTCAATAACACACATAATTACTTCTAATCGCTGAACACCATAAATCACAGATTCGGTCCTTAGTTAAACATACACAGGTCATTGGCTACAGACTGTTGGTGTAACCACACACTACAAAGTGACCAGGTTCGAGCCCCTCTCTCAAGTCAGGTTCTCCTCTTCAAAATAAGAGGAGGAACAAAAACTACATTCAGTTTACACATTTTAAAATGAGTCAACATGTTTGTGATCGTATAATAATCAGCTTGACAGATGATGGAATGAGAGAAGAATTCAGAGGGCTGACGTCTCAGCTCGGTCTTGTACATGTGAGTTTGGTCTCAAGGGTACAAATGTTAACCGCAACAGTACAGGAAAATAAAGACTGAATATAAAACAAACCCCTCTTGTATTTAACATCCAACTAATTCATCACATCACAAAAATCACATTTCAGAAGGGCTCTCTACCTAGGCAGTCACAACATTTACATAATGTAACATTACGTTATAGGCTTCAAAACAGCATGCAATAAAATCCCAAATTACTTTGGCTAGTATGGAGATACCTGGGGTGGTTTACTGCAGGGGACTAACTGGACGTGTTTGTGTGTTATAATGACAAAGATTACAAACAACTCATACACAGTAAGATAACCTGCGTTCAAATGTTTTGCTATTTTTCAAAATCTTACTGGCATGTAACCTTAATGCCACCGTGTAATGAGAATCAAAAGTTGCATTCAACACATGAAAAACCACGTGTACTGATAAATATCAGGATATGCTGTGAAAAGCGAAAGCTCATTTGTCTGTACTTTGTTTTACAGCGATGCAACACCCCCCATCTCCTAAAAACTGTTACTTTACAATCCCACAGCACCTCACACATATTAAGTGTTTGTTGATCTGAGTGTTGAGATTATGAATACGGTTTTTCTTTCAAAAGTGGCGTCATGTCTCAACTTTAAGGTCATCCTGCAACATCACTGACGCATGTTCATCTCTAGTTTTCCTCCCACAGTTGCACAGCATTAGTCATTTGTATAAAAGCACGTTTACAGAGTGCAGATTCTATACATTTATATAAAGTGTGCATGAGGGAATAAGGAGGATGATAATAAGATGGTGGATGGAGAGCAAAAACATTTAAAAAAAAAGGGGGATTCAGTCTCTTATGGAAATGCAGGATGAGAAATATAAAAAATATGGCAGATGTAATAAAGATTTATAAAAAGGCCCATCACACTGAAACAAAGGCTACACCAACACACACCAGACACATGTCTAAAGCACCAATCAGATCTAATCATTCAATTGTGTGACGACCCTCATTAATTGTTAATAGGAGAAATGATCACATATGAACATGATTTATATAGAATAAAGTACATTGGGGGTTAAGTGGAGTTTTGCGATACAAATTCTGTGGGTTTTTGCCCACATAGCAAATACATTAGACCTTAATCTGTAATCAAGTTACAAAATTGATCCCGACTAAAAATCCAATCCTACAAGATGAATTTAATTTCAAGTCAGTGAGATGAAAGACTTAAATACTTTTTTCCAGACAACTTCTATGGATGATCTGTGCATTCACACATGAATTAAAAATGCTTTTTACCTATTTAAATGTCAGAACTGCAGTACAGTAAATCTATGCCGTTACTGAAATGATGAATGAAAAGCTCGACCTGGCCTTGACCCCAGATATAAATCAAACTTTAGAATATCAGCGTGATGCAAAAACACAAGCATTAAGATACTGAGACAAATTTGCAACCGTGTGAAAAACTGCCACATGACTCAAAGAGACCAAGACACGATTTTAATAAACTTTGTCTCATTTCCAAATCTATGTGTTGGTTGAGTCCCTGAGATATTGCTGTCTGTCTGCATCTCCTCCCAGTCTGATGGCCACTTTTTGATAGTGCTTTTCCATTTCACAAGCTTGACACACACTTGCACGCGTCAGTCGTCCCATTCACACAAGAAAAGGAGGTCCTGATGTCTACTACTGTCACTACGCAACTGTGACGTCATGAATCAGACTACATCTACATAATTTCAACAATTTATATGGAAATGGAATAAATAAATCTTACTATGGACAACTATCCAACACCTTGAGGATTTTTACACATCAGAAAGACAGGTTTTGTATCTGTCCCCTGCATCATACACCCAACCCCTCTCCTACTTCAGTAGTTTCACAAAAGGGGGAAACATGTTTGTGGATGAACCCGTGTAAGATTTGTAAACTCCAGGTTATTCACAGGATAAAAAGATGAACATACATAAAATATGCTCATTCATACCCCTGGAAGTTACTTAAAAGGAGCTGAGGTGTAGAATTAGGGCAGAAATGAGAAAACCATGGACATTTCTCAGATAACTGATGAAACTGACACCTTTGAAAGCTTCAAAAAGACAAAAAAACTTGATTGTTTGATTTGGGTAAGATCCAGGTTACCTGTCCAACTCTGAGGATTTTTGGTCATTTGCAACTAAAATCAACTCATGCCTTTAAAATACGGTTTTAGTTTTGTGTCCCTTCTGACAATAGAGTGGTAAATACCCAGAAGTTGTGTTGCTAGAGATGTTCGGAGAAAAACAGCATTCTGACATCAAATGCAGCCGTTTTTACAATAAACCCTCCCCTCCCCCTCATCTTCACTGCCACCTGAGTCTACTGATCCGCAGTGCGTTCCAGGCTGTCGATCACACGAGTCAGCCTGATGTTGAGGAGCCGGATCTGAGTGTCCAAGTGGTCGATCTTCTCTTCCAGTGAACCTGCGCCGCCCCCCCGACGCCAGTATGCTCCCACGGGCCCTGTCATGAAGTACACCGCCATGATGAAGCACAGCGGCAGCACGGCACGCTCCGGGTCGCCCTCAAACTTCTGCAGGATGTAGAGGCAGGACAGGGCGAAGAGCGTGACACGAGCCAGCCAGAAAAAGCGTCCGAACACGGCGTGCAGCAGGTAGAAGAAACCCCCCAGGAACATGGAGAGGAACCAGTAGGCCAGGAGCACAGCAGCGACCAGGAGCAGGGCGCGTGCCGGAGAGTTGGTGAGAGATGTGGGGCTGAAGTAGTGGCTGAGGTTTGAGGCTGCAGAGGAAAGAGAAAGACGACAGGAAGTAAACACCAAAAGCTTTTGTGACAAAGAACTATTATGAAAAAAAATGTAAGGTCTTACAGTCGATGCCCATCACATCCAGCAGATCTGACCAGATCTTCCAAATGGTGTCCAGGAAAGAGTCGACTCCATGGACGAACCGCTCTGTTGTTTTGGAGAAAAACTATAGAAAGAAACGAAGGGTTAAGGGATTGTATAATCATCCCAGTAAAAGTTTACTCTAGATCTATTGTATATACAGAAGAATGATTCACAACGATGTCACAGAAACAAACCTAATGAAAGTCAAAAGGAAAAGGATGGAGAATGCATAAGTGTTGTTCCAGCTAAATTAAAGCCCCACACATAACAGATATGTTATGTTTTATATTACTGCTTTAATGTATTCTAGCTTAAACCTCCTCACCGCATAAATAATACACTGGCCTATACTAGACTTTCGTTTTATTGTTATTGATGAAACTTGAGATAATTATTGATTGATTTTTAATCACCCAGTCCTACAATATAAACAACATGCTGGACTCCTTGTGAACTATCCATCTCAGCCTTTGGTTTTCAGTGGAGTCACATGGACTTCATTCAAACTCATTATTTTATGACCTGTCACTTTCAGAAGGAACAAACTGATCCATGTAACCACATAGCAAAACTGTTTTGGCCCACATCTGTATCCGATCTGGGTGAGCTGTCACCATCAACCCCTGACAGGACACATTAAAACACTTTCCGGTTTCAGCCACTGTGGATCCAGCTCCTGTGTGCAGCCCGTGGACTTCTTATATAGACTTTACATTGAGTCCATGGAGCAGGAAACAAAGTCTCATCACGTGTGAAGCCAAAATGTCAGTTTGTTTTGGCGGTCACGCGCAGGAAGTCACGTTATATTTAAAAACTTGAGGAAGTGCAGGCGAACGAACGAGATCACACATGAGCTGATGTTTGGCTTTGAGCTGATCCAGGATAAGGTGGAGGTGAAGAAGCAGCTGGTGTTGTGGCCTGGATCCACTGGGGCTGCATGTGTGAGGTGGCATCACTTGACAGGCAGAGAAGCATGAAGGAGAAGAGCCTCCACCCTGACGCTCATGGAAGTAAAACCTAATTTAACACCTCGCACTCATGTTTCCGGGTACCTCGCGTCCACCGACATCCTCTGTATCCGGATAAAAGATGGGATAGGAGGCTCATTTTTCAAAATGGCATCCGTGAAATTGTTTCGCCAGGCCCGGGCGCGCTTGTTCCCTCAGCCCACAGTGAAGCCCCCTCCCTGGGTACTCCTGGACCCCACCCCGCTGTTCCCCCCCACACCACACACTGACCTTGTACAGCCCCCTGATGTTGTCCTCTCCGAACACGCTGCTCAGGGTCTGGTAGATGCCGTTCGCCGCCCGGCGGAAGCTGTTCTGGTTGCTGGTCCGGCTCCGGGCCGCCTCGCCTGTGCCGCACAGCAAAGACGCGGAAAGCACCAAGAAAACCACGAGGAAGCGTATTCCCTTCATGGCGCCGAGGATCCGCGGGTGTCGAGCAAGGGGCTGGTGTGAAAATGAGTCGGAGAGACGGAGGGTGACGCGGGGAGGAAGCTGCCTGAAGGTGGAGGATGACACCGACACTGGCTGCGATGGTGGAGATAGCCCGTGATGACTTCACGGACGCCTCGGGAACTCGAACTCCAGGGTCTCTGTGTTAGCTAGCTGCTGTGAGTTTGGATGAAATTGTGATTGTTTGATTGATTCTTGTTTCAGATACAAAAGGCCAATCAAACAGTTACACACATCAAGTGTGACTCTGAAGCACCGTTCTTAACAATGTGAACTGAGTAAATCAGTTTACAGATATACGGGGTGAGCTGGATCAGCTGCAACAAGCTACTTCACCACTAGATGTCACTAATTTCTACACACCGAACCTTTAAATGACTGAGAGGAGAAATTGTCACTGACTTTAATCTGTGATCAAGTCAAGAAATCGATCCCATCTAAAAACTGCAAATGACATTTACCCTCCACTATATTAGAACAATCAATTGAATATTATATTTGATCATGATTGGTGGTTATTTACTAAATAAATTCAGGGATAATTTGACTTAAAAGTGTACAAATTATTGCTGCTACACGTTGACACTGGGGTTTCGTCAAAGACATTTTCCATCCCATTTACACTTAATCTTAAATTTCCGATTACCTTTAAATGCACCATTCCTCTTCGTTTGAATTTCATGCAGGTGAGGCTCATGTGAAGCTCGCTGCTGCCCCCCACTGGTCGGTAGTTGGTAGTGTCCCCTTACTCCCCGGTGTCACTCTTGTGAATTAACATTTTTTCAAATTGAATCAAATACCAATGTGCAGGAAGTTCAAATAACGATGGATTTCACTGCTACTCCATAGAGCCACTTGGTACCTGAGTGAATTTCCACTGCGCTCTCATTATTCACAATTTAACAACACTGAATAATAGATGCAGGGGGAAAAGTAGGGGAAGACTGTAAATACTGACAAGAGGAGAGGAGAGTAAAGGCTGAATACAGAGAGAGCAAGCAAGTTACTGAAATCATTTAATAACAGGAACATGAGGATCCAGAGGTTTTTCTCTGTCAATCAGAATCAAGTTTTATTGCAGAGTAGGTTTAAGGAATTTGCTCTGGTGTATTTGTGCAAGTATAATATCAAAAATATACAAATAGGAAACAAAAAGGAAATATGGAAAAACACTATAAGCACCAGGGAAGGGATTGTGCAATACACTGTAAGAACCCTATTGGCTCAGTTTAGATGAAGATACAGTGAATGCCTGGTTTGAGGCACATCTGTCACATTACACACACCCACTAGATGGTAGGATTGGACTATGGCTGCACCTTAACAACAAGAATTGTTAAAATAGTCATTGAACGGATTAATTCAATAATAATAATAATAATAATAATGATAATAATAATTTAGATGTAGCAGCTAAGGCAGCGATGTGAATAACCACTAATTTAAATATGTGCATACTATTGAACTATGATGGAAAACATATCTGTTTGTCTTATACTTGCCTAAACAAATCAAAATACTTGCATAGATGGTCATAACATATAATTCCATATACACATATTATACATATGTTGAGATACAAGTACAATATTTAATTATTCACATATATTCATATAATTGATTAATTATATTATGGGTATTTCATGTATGTTATAAACTTCGTGTATTCTGGGGATGCATATATGTACTCTAGGGAGTACAGGTGACCTCCACTTCCCTATGAGTGATGACAGCTAACATGGTTAAAGATGATACAGGTGTTGAAAACGTCTCCATAGGAGACAGTAGGTGAGTGTGGTTGCCTAGTTACAATCTCTTCCTTCCTCCTGTGTTTTCTGTGCGTAACTGTATCCGGTATCCAGGCAACGACGCACGCAGAGAGCAGACATGAGAGCAGTGAAGCGGAGGAGTGACTGAAGACATGTCTGTAAACTCTGGACTCTAACGTGTGTGGTTCAGCTACAGGTCAGTTTGAACACACAGGAAGTTAAACATGTATGGACGAGCTCCCAGACTGACCTTCATGACACCGGGCGGCTCCTCGGCCACAGTCGGGCCCGGGTCGTACGATGTCACCCGGAGTGACAGGACGTCAGGTAGGACACAAGAGTCTCATGAGATGTGGACAAGTTCCGCTGCGTCTGCCTCTAAATATATGAACGTGCATTCAACTTGCTGCCTGATTATTAAAATGCTACGTGAGAACAGGAAGCTGCAGGGAAGAGGTCAAAGTTGAGTATTTTATAAGAAAAGGGACACAACAAAACTTTGTGACCACACAATGTTCATTCATAGTTTTCTCCTTTTCTACTTGTTATTAAGGAGATTACAAAGTAGAACATATTATACATGTATTAATTTAAAAGGTATCTGTACATAATTGGTACATATATATGTATGTGTGTATATATACATTTATATGTGTATGAATATGTATTTACACACACATTGATATCCAATATACATGAACAACTCAATATTTTGTACCTTTATTGTGTGTGTGTGTGTGTGTGTGTGTGTGTGTGTGTGGGTTCAATTGTTTTATTGTTATTTTATCTATCTGGTCTTATTTATCTTTATGAATAAAAATGCTACATGAATATATATTTTTTTGTCATTTTATTTTGTCCATCCACTGTAGTTCTAGAAAAACAATCAACCAAATGAATAAAGTTAAATAAACTAATTCAAATCCCGATATATGTTTGTCACATATTTGTTGTTCTTGCTAATGTAATTATGCACATTTTATTTATATAGTGCTTTTAAAGCTCAATTTCTCAAAGACAGTTTTTTTCAAATGCAGAAAAGGCAAATAAAATATGAAAAATATGAAACACACATGATTAATCACTCAGTGGTTTCGTAGATGTCGGGTTTTGTATATTATATACAGTCTATGGTTGTGAGTAAGGTTTTTTTTGTGCCTTTTCTTTATAGCAGATGGCTATGCTCCATTCCTGTCCTTGACCAGCAGACAATCAGCATTCAGCTCCACTGAGGAGGTGCCAGGACCTGGACAATATGACTCCTCACCCGTCAAGGTACCTGTAGGTTAGACACAACCCTTTTACATGCCGGGAAGTCAAGACCTGACTGTACCCAGGAGAGATGGAGTGGGCGGAGGTGGCGTTCGGTTGGACCAGAGGGTCATGAAAGCAAGAGCAGATTTGTCTGAAGTCATGAAATATTTATGTCACAATGCTTTCAAGAAGTGGTGATAGATGGTGGTTCTGTAGGTTATTTCCTTTGACACTTTACAGCATAAAATACCCACTGAGTCGCAAGTAAAGTTTTGTGAGGAAATTGTTTGCAGAAGAATTCATTTGACCAGAAAGAAGTATAATTCTAATATTGCCCATCAAAACATTCAAACTATTTATTTGTCATATTAGGAAGGGAGGACATGAGAGCAAGGTGAAGATAAACAATCTGTAAAGTACGTCAGTGGCAAGCAAATATTTGTTGATTACCGTCTCATTTTCTTTTTGCATGTCTTTCTCTCAAATCCTCTGCTTTCAGCTAAATGTCCACGGTGGGCGCAGTCTTCAGAACCGCTCCAAGCGCTTTGAGGAGGCAGTGTCAGCGGTTCCTGGCCCCGGGGCCTACAATGTGCTGCCTGCCTCAGGAAGCTCGCTCAGGGCTGTGCCGGCCGACGCAGGACAGGCCGAGAGGCTTGGCAGAAAAACGGTGAGCACATGGGTGAGCATGGGAAATGAGCCGACAAGTCACAGACAATGATTTTTTAAAATGGATTTGATTGTGTAGTTCATGATTCGGTTCATCTACATTATCTGTGTGACCTTAATGAGAGAAAGGTAGTCATGACCTGTGGATCCACAAGTCATTTTCACAGGTACAGCACAATAAAGATAGAAAAACATGTTCAACTCCTCTCCGTGCTCTGCTGATGTGTTCCAGTTCTCAAACAAAAGATAGTGATAGCGTTCGTGACTGTTGACTGCCCGTAGTTGCAGACAGTAATTTTAGTTAAAGTACTTTAGCTGCTATTTTAAAACCTCTAATGGAAACACTCCAGAATTTGGTCTCAACAGTAACATCTCCTCTGTCGTAGTTAAAAACATTAGCTGTAACTGTTTCATATTCAGTAATGCATACATACAGTGTGACATTGAGGCTTCATAGTTTGTCACAAATCGTATCACAAAGAGGTTTTCATACACGCAGCCTCATTAATTATATATGACAGACTCCGCTTTAATTACAATGATGGAGATGATGAGGACTGAAATATGAAGACCCCAGACAGAGGGAGAGTCTTGTAAAAATCTGTTGCTCCACTTTAGTCGTTAAAGTGACAGATTTTTCAGTATCAGCAAGATCCAGGGAAAGACAGGGAAGTTGTTTCTGCTGCTCTAAATCCGCCTTGAAGCTCCATGCACAGGCTGGTGCTATCTCCAGTTCATTTTTCATAGGTGACAGTCGTCTCATTAGACTTACTATGCTGATTTTTTACTCCTCAGAAGCAGTAACAGTAGCAGAGACAGGTCGTGTCCTATCCAGGGATTTTGTGGTTCTTACACAGTGTCAGCAAAGAATGTGTGAGAACAGCAGTGTCCACTTTACCTCTGTTCATTGTAAAACTCCTGAAATTTCATCTCAACCTTTTTTTCTTTTTGTCGTCCAGCAACAAGGTTTTTGTCAAGGCCCCCTGACAGGATTATCATCACTGTTCATCAAACCCTACACAGAGAAGAGCCTTGCTGGGCCGTAAATCCATTTATTTTCTATAGCAAATGCTCCCTCCTGTATAACGTGAAAGATAACATCTGAGAGTTATAAGTCACACTTCAACTACTTTATCCTGTATAGCTTGCATGATATACGAACAGTTGTTGAGATACAGATAAGTTATAATAGACAAGTTAACACTTTTGAAACCTGATCAAACATGAAAAAGTCTCACGCTCTTCTCCTTCTACACCAGCTGCAATTATCTGAACTAGTGTTGTGATCATTCAGAATTATTCCATGTGAGTCCCCCTCAAACAGTTCTACAATAACATGTCACTTTTTTATTGTTTGGGTTCTGGAGAGTGGAGTTAGAAAACATTGCGTTCATCCAACCTGGTTTATCTACAATGAAGATTTTATAGTGAATGTTTTTCC